CAGATTGAGATTATCATAAAAAAATAATTCAGAGATTCTCACAGCTGTATGATATTTTTGACAATAGAGACCCCCGATTGTGGGGCCGTGTGAAGGGTCTGGACCAACAACTTTTGTCTTGTTAAGCTGAATTTCCCCCCGGGATAAATAAGGTATTGTAATTCTGAATGTTGAGCTGCATAAAGTTTCCAAGATAGTTTGTGAGAGAAAAGATGTGATCCAGGTCATAAAGGAGAGTTAAAGCCAGGTGTCATCAGCATAAAAATACAAAATAGTATGTCTGCTGATCACATGTCCGAAGGGCAAAGAGTAAACAGAAACAGAAGTGGTCCCAGAACTGACCCCTGAGGTACACCACGGGACAGTATAATACTGTATGACTTCCTTTTTCCCCTCTTCTTTTTAATCTTAGTATTATACAGTTCATTATTATTTGTAATTCTCCTCCTTTTCCTGTTCACCTTATTTTCTGGCTCTTAAATTATATACTCATTTCTTTAATCACTGTATCGATTTATACATATTGGTGAACTGTACTCTTTTATAGCCTTTGTTGTTTACCTTCTCATTTGCCTCCTAAGGGTAAGGGTGGGTGTGGGGAGGGGGGTGTATATCAGGACCTTCATTTTTAATCAACATGTTCTGCACATGAAAAATATTAAAAAATAAAGTTAAGTAAATCCTGAGATTCAAAACTTGAGTTTGTGACATCATTACAATATCAGGTGGTCTTAGTTTCCAGAGCAGCACTAAAGTAAAAAAAATGTTTTTATTGACTGTAAACTGCACATCAGGATAAAACACAAAACCATCCATCATTATCACGAAGCAACAAATTTACAGAAAAACAGGTTCTTCCATCAATGTTAGACGTATCTGTTGATAATGAAATTTACTGGATATATCTTTGCAACCTTACAATGAAGATCAGTTTTACTTTTGCATGTAGGTAGCTTTCTTCCATGAAAGGTGAACACACCTCTAGAAAACAAATATAAAGATAACACACTTAATCCTTTTGATGCCTTGCTCACAGTGAGAGGCCCTCTGCACACAGTGAAAATGTCAAAGTCTCACCTGGGTCTATGGAGCTGTGGTCTCATGCTGTGAGGTGTCCTGTTTGCTTCAGACACTTTTTAACTGAATAACTCCTTATCTGAATAAATGAGCCTGCAGCACTGAAGGAGTTCTGAAGGATCGACCCACTCTCTGCCAAAGATCGACCTGTACTGGTCCAAACAATGGAATGCTTCAGTTCAAACTGAGGCACACACACACACACGCACGCACGCACTCACACACACACACACACACACACACACACACACACACACACACACACACACACACACACACACACACACACACAGGTGAAGGGTCAGGGGGGCTCTTAGAACAGAGCCAGACTACCAAATATAACTAGAATGTATGAAAATAAAACTCTCTTGGACTGAACTGGTCCTGACTGAACTAGTTAGAGTCTCTGTAGGCAAGTTTCATGTTGTGTTGATTCTGGTGCCCCCTTGGATGAGATCAGCAGTGTTGTTTTTTCTGGAGTGAAGACTGCATGTCCCATGAGCACTATCACCCTAAATAAAAGCAGACAAAGTGCTTTTTCAAGTCCTTCCTACTTAGTCTCTAATGTCATTTTTTATTTTTTTATTCATAATGTTGTTGATAAAGAGGGTTTTTACAGAGCAACGATTCTGTCAGGGAGCTTAGTCTTTCCACTGGCCGCTGAAGACTTTGGTGGTCATGATCCAGACCTTGTGGACCATTAAACCTGCCAATCAAAGAGAGGGTCAAAGGCTTTAAAGTAACATAAAAACTAAAGAAGATGTTCACAGAGACAGTGAAAGAGTTCAGCACCTATGACAGGTGAATTCTGAGACTCAGTCTTTTCCCTGAGCTGTAAACCCTGTTATATATAAAACAAAAATAAGATATGGAATAATATAGATGACAATCTGTAAAGAAATGATGTTTCTATCACAAAATGTCTCTCATTTCTTCGTCTCTTTTCTTATTCACTCATTCAGGACCCTTAGCTGAATCAAACTGGAGTGTTTGTGTTGAACTAAAGATTTAGTTGCCTCCTTCCTCACTATGTTTTGTTTTCATGATCAGCTTCAAGACAGGGATGTTTTCAGGGTCAGGGAAACAGTCTTAAAACCTTGTTCATAGTGAAGTACGATTTAATCAGGAGGTTCTGATCAGCACTGAGGAGGAGTTTTCTTTTGGGACAGATAAAGACTTTCATTGATAGACCTCTTAACAAACTGTATAAGGACTCTTTCAGTGGCTTTGTCCATTAACTACTTTTAATTTGTTGGATTAAAGCAGTCCTCAGGTTTCCCATGATGAGTCTGAGTCACAGGATTTAGAGCTCTAAAATTCCATTTGTTTTCGCCCCCATGATCGATGTTAACCAAAGGTCTGTGTAAACTTTTCCATTGATTCAAACTTGTGCTCAAGGTTCCAAAACTTTACCACCCACCTGCACATGGTTTGGTTCAGGTTAGTGAAATAAAAAGAGAATCAATCAATCCAGACCCTGCTGTTCACCTGTTTTTACTTCTCTACAGTTACTGTATGGATGGCATTAGTTTTTGGTAAGAGCTGAAATCTGCTATCAAGACCAGTTGAATGAACTTGCTGAAGTTGTCTTATTAAAATAAGTAATACAGAGTAACACAGACTTTATGTATAAATTTATGATTTTGAGGATCTATTCTTTTACAGCATGATTCATAATCAGCCTTAACTTTACAACATTTGACCCTCGCTTTAAAACAAAAACAAATACTTGATTTACAGTCTCATGTGTAAATCTCAGGCACCAAAGAGCTTGTTTCTTGAGGAGGTGTTTTTGATGATATGGGCATATACTTGACCACACTGATATAGCTCTTTAAATCACTTTAAATCAAACCTCTTGTAAAGTAGTCGGACTTTGTACCTGACAATGCAGTCAATGGATAATGATTTTCTCTGTCATGTAAACCTATATTGGGCTGAAACTGCCTCAGTGTTCTGTCCATGCTAAAGTGTTCACACATCAGGGCTGTGGGTTGAATAGCATGGATGTGTTGCAGGTGAAGAAAGGACATTAAAAAAAAAAGTTGAAACATTCATACAGTACAAACAAACATTACTACAAATTGCGCTGTAAAGTGACAGCGTTATTGTTGGACATGAATCCGGTTAGCCTCTTGCTAACAAGTTTTGACGACAGTAACAAGCTGAAAGTGGGGAAGAAGAGTAGGCCAGTTGAACCACCTGATTGAGCGATAACCATGGCTTGACTTAATTGTATATGTAAACGTACTGTGTGTGTGTGTGTGTGTGTGTGTGTGTGTGTGTGTGTGTGTGTGTGTGTGTGTGTGTGTGTGTGTGTGTGTGTGTGTGTGTGTGTGTGTGTGTGCATTACCATTTCCAGTGATATCCCGTACTAGGAATTGGCACTCAGCCTGTTGGAGAAAAATGATGGTTTTATTCTATCATCTACTTTTCTTTTGTCTTTTTTAATTATCAGTGTCCTCTCAGCGCCACGCTCTACTTCTTTGGTTCTCATTTCCTCCTTTTTCCGACTTTAACAGCCTCTCATTGTCAGTCTCCTCTTTATCCTCCAGCACACATCTCCTCACGTCTCTAAAAATCGGATGCTATTGTGGCCAATTAAAAGATGCAAACTGTCCGATTCCCTCACCATGTGGAAGCTGTTTCCCTGACAGATTTTGTGGCATTCAAGCTTTTTGGAAATTGTTAGAGAAGATAAGAGGTCACTCATGTTTTTTCCAAAGACATAAAGACGTTTGTGGTGAAAGTTTGAATCCCCAGAGTTGTATCTTAGTTTCCTCTTTGATATTTTTGACATTATGAAGGACTATTTGCTGCCCACGCCACATTACACTGCTGCCTTTCTGCTTTAGTGTGTACATGAGTCTGTGTAAGAGTGAACCTGTGTGCCTGATATAAACTGAGACAACAGTGCCCCCTGCAGGCCAACATGGCAGCTTTAGACAGTGTGTGTTTAGGGTGTATTCTGGTCCTGTCTGTGTTTTGTAGCAGCCATATCATGTTCTGGAGTCAGACAGAGGTGGTAAAATGTGATTCATACATCTGAGGAGAACATGAGTGCTGTAAGAGGGCAGGTGTGTGTCAGGTCCTGGAGCAGGGCGTTCTTCCTAAAAACAGCAGCAGAGCAGATGTCTTGATGAAGAATACATTGGTTTTGAGATTATTGAGCTTGCGGTCAGCTCTATCATCTAATCTAATGTCTTTTTGTTTAAATCAACACGTCTGACCTTCCTTCAGTGTCAGGACTGTGCTCATTTAACATGTAATCTTTATTCCACACATGTGCAGATGGTTAAAATAAAGATTTTTATTTTCGAATATGCCTCTGTTCCTGCAGACAGATAACGCATCAGCATGCCAGGCCAGTAGATGGCAGTGATGTGTAATCAGAAGATGTCAGGTCAGGTGTTTAATCAGGTTTTAGGTTTACATGCACTTTTAGATTAAACCAGAATATTTATACGTAATGTGCATTTACAGAGGCCTTATTTACCTTGTGGATCGATGTTTATCTCATCATGTGATTTTCCTTGAATCTCTAAAAGCTCTTCTTGCTCCGAGACTATCAGCGCTATGCTAATCTTGGCCTGCTGTATAGTACCTTCGGGGGAGCTGTAGAATTGGTGATGAATCCATATGTCATGTCTGAGGAATTTGGCAAAGTCATCCATTTCATTATCCTTTAAATTGACAATTTGGACATTGTGGTCCTGCGTTTTCTCAACTTAGTAGAGGATAATGCTCCTGGATGGTTAGCCTCACAGCTTTGAGCTTTATGTCAAATGGTATCTGATCCTCTGAAATGACTGCACACTTAATGTCTTGCAAACATGAGCAGGTTCTCGAGGGGAACTTCAAAGTTGCGGTGTGTCTGGACAAGTTCATCCATTGATGCCAGCATCTCTGATGTAGGAAGTATGGGGACCTTTTGTCTTCCTTTGACCTCTATCCTCTTGAAGTTTCCACACAGATTTTCAGACAGCTCAGACAGAGCCAGTTCAACATAAAATGGGACTTTTTATAATAGGTGTTAATGTGAGTTCCTTTGCTTTTGTAGACAGCCTCAGGTGGACACTGGAGGAACTGTAGTTTGTCCTTTCGGTGTCAGCTTCATAATTCAGCACTGACAGGATAGCACATGATTTCAGGCAGGATTTCCTCTAGAATTTTTCATCAGGCATCTTTAAACCCTCAAAACAAACAGAGGATAATGTATGAGAAAGAGCTGAGCATGTCAGTTCAGGAGTGTCTGTTTGTGGGTAAATGTGCTGGTTGCTGTCTCAGTCTCTCTGATGTTTAATGAATCTTTTGTTTTGATAGTTATGATGCACACTTTCTCCTCTATAGTCGGGCGTCTTAAATCAACCCTGTCATCTTTATCGTCATGACCCTATCCTTCCCCTACTGACTCAGACTTGTCATTAAGGAGATGATCCACTCTTTCATTCAACCGTCTATCCATCTCCACTCGCTCTAGAGACTGCATTAACTCCATCCTTCAGCTTGGTGTGGGAATGATTCTTCTTCATTACTGTTGACGTCCTCATCACGGCGGCTGTCATCGGGAACAGAGTCACAGCATTTCCACTTTCTTTAGTCAGATTCAGTCAACAGCAGCTGTCTATGTTAAGCTGTGTCATATTTCACTGGCACTCTCCTCTAACACCAGACTCACGTCACTGAACACATGAATCAGCTGGTTTATGTTCCAGATTTCTGCATGTCACCAAATCCTTCAATCAATAAAGAAAACATGAAAGGAACAAACACTTTTCTGTTTGTTACTTTCATTTAAAATAATCTAACTAGCAGTTTAAGAGAAAGGACAGAGAGAAACAACTCTACGATATTAAACAGAAACAAAAAAGAGCGAATGACAGACTGGAAGAGGAGGGGGCCTTCTTAAAGCAGCGAATGTGATTCAAGCAACATCAACAATACTGACGAGGATAAAGCAACACCAAGCTAACCAGGAGGCTAGACTGGAGGGTCGAGCAGGGAGAAGCAACTTAAGGGATTTACAGGACACCTGACTGAAAAGAGGGCTGATTTTCTGGAAAATTGCCCTCAATTTTCCTCCAGTTAATGGAGCCCAGGTCCCTGTACTGAGTCTTAACGACTCGAATGCAAAGATCCAGTCCATCAGACTGAAGTTCAAGAGTTTCCAGACAAAAGAGGAGGTATTTCAGTGAGGATGGCAAAAAAAGTGTTCTGCGACAATATTCACTTCTGCGAGACCATGATTACCTTTCAGAGTTGCTGAGAATACGCAGTGATAATGCCAAAGCCAAGAAAGTATCAAAAGAAAAGAATATTAAGTTTTGGACTCCCGAACCTGCAAGAACGCTGATTTTTTTTAATGCAGACGGCACCTGACTGTTCCAGGGTGCGTCAGAAGCAACAATGATTTGCTGTTGGTATAGTTAAGTTAACCACCAATCAAGGTCAGGAGGCGATCCAGCTTCCACCCACCTGGATTGTGGGAGGAGACAGCATGAGATCAACCATGAGATATTGATTTTAATCATTTTTTAATAATAAAAAAATGAAAGACCTACAATCACAACACAGAAAGGAAAAAAGAATCTGACTTCATCTGAGAGAGAAAATAAATAAAAAATGAGATAAAAGTATAATATTCAAAAAACTGAAAAAAGGTGATAAAAACAAAATACCTTGAGTTAGGTTCAAAATCAGTAAATTTTTTAGCAAGAAGGCTGAAAAAAACAAAAAAAAAAACTTGATAAGTGGATATATAAGAAAAGGGGATCGTGGTTCTACTAAAGAAATACAAAAGGCATTTGAAATGTATCACAAATCTTTATATACTTGACAAAATTGGAGAATGAGCGTCATCTTGATTACCCTCATCCTAGCCGTCCTGTCCGAGGAACAAAATAAAATATTCACAGAAGCAGCTGCTGATTTAGTCCTGAACAGCACTACCTTGAAACTCAAAGCTGAAAAATCACCATCAAAGAAGGAAAGGATGACCTCAACTGTTGATCATACAGGCAGATTTCTGTGTTGAATGTTAATTACAAACTGTGGTAAATCATCAGCCTGGATTAAAATAAATTATCTAGCAAACTGTTATATTTTAATGTGGAACACAACAAGGATGTCCTTTATAACGGATGTTTCCCCTCTGTAGAGAGCCGAACAGTATAAGGAAGGACGGAGCATTAATGGAGAACACCACAAGGCGGCACTGTATGACAATGTTATTTTAGTTTATCTTTGCAAACCTTTTGATTGATTTCCTATATTAATGACATAAACTAAACAAACAAAAATACAGTCTTTTGACAACTTACCCAGAAAACACATTAAAGAGAAATTCTGTTTTAAATGGCACCACAACTTATTGAAATGTTTGGGCATACATTAACCATTTGTTTCTCTTTACTTCAGTCGAGTGTTTGTTGCCATGTAATAGATTAGAACAGAAGAAAAACAGGGCTAATTATTGCAAAGGACTAGAAGCTCTGGAAAACACAGCTGACACACCTTTGTACTGAAAACCATGTGAGCCGACAACCTCTTGAAGCTGGTTGAGATACTTCCTTCATAGTTTTGTCATTTTCAACATTAATCTACGATTAAGATTAAAACATGATAGAAAACAATAAAGAAGATGTGTCCAGACAGGGTGTTTTACTGATATCTACTTTGCATTGTCACTCACATTGAAAATTTTAGAGTAGTCTTGTGCAAATCATGTTCAAACAGATTTTGGCTAAATGGAGTGTTTATTCCTCTTACTTTGGAGATCAGAAAAAAACATTAAAAAGTTAAATAACAATGACAAATCCAACAGAAATTATACTTCACACATTGACACCACATAACCACACAGCCTTCTACACCCTGATTAGACCCCAAACTTAAGACTCTGGAAAGATTCAGACTTAAACTCAGTTCTGTTTTTTTTTTCGGAATAATTTTTAAATAAATCAGACCCCGGTAAGCAGACATGATGGTGACGTGGCTCTGCCGGTTAAAAGCCTTTCCCCTGAGAACCAGCAGCTTTGCAGCTTTTCCTTCACTCTGAATGAGATGGTGAAATAATGTTTTCCAGTGCACATCACAAAATAGAGAAATTTGAGACACATTTGTCCTAAATCTTATGAATCCTGCTGAAATCATATTTGAAACTATTTCTTCACCTGGGGCTTCAATGCAATTTGTCAAATGTCAGAGATCATGTTGTCTTCTGTCTCCACCATTAATGAGTCCAGAAGCGTTTTTCACAGTTTAGTTAAAGAGTGTTTTGCTCAAATGTTAGGAATAACATTAGCCATGCCGTGGTCCTCTTCAAGTGTCTCCAGCCAAAATTTAATTCCCCTTCCAACTACACAGAATAACTAAAAACACCTGGAAGGTTTCAGGCATGCCCTAATGTGACAGTGAGAACCAGGAGATCACCGATTTGCATTGTCTTCAACTCACACTAATGTTATTCTCACATGTAACAGTCTTTTATAATGATGGCAAACACACAAAGTGCTGCATGGTTCTTTTAGCAGCAGCAGCAGCTGTACAACTTCTCCTGAGGTAATTCGAACATGTTAAAAAGTTACTCTCTCTCTCAAAAAGCTTTGTTTTCATTATTTATTCACCAGAAAAAAAAGTTTTCCCCCAGGAAATCAAATATTTGATTAGACAGCAGAAAAATACATTCCAAGTGCATTTTATATGTATTTTTTTAAAAACCAAAAATTAGGAGTGCAAAAAGAGGACAGTTTCAAAAGCATTCATCACAAACTGTCAACAGGTTTGGAAAATAAATAATACCCTCACATGGTTTTAAAAATCTATCCAACCCTTTAAAAATCAGGAAATTTCTCAAGTCTTCGGCCTCTTAAGCCTTACTGGAACTGTGGCTGTGGTCCATTGTGTTGAAGAAGAGGCAGACTCCTGCAGTGAGAAGAAGGTGCATGGACTCATACAGCAGTTTTGGTGAAAAGACGCTCCATATGAAGAGATGGTACCGCAGGACGGTTATCAGCACGATGTAGGCAGCAGCTGGCACAGACCGCAGTAGGGCTAAGCAGTAGCAGCCATGACCGACTGCAACTGGACTCCTGCGGCGAGAAAAAGACTCATCAGAGAATAGGGAAACACGACAGAGAGCAAAGCAAGTATCTATTCATATTAAAACAGTAAAACAGAAATAGTGATGGTATAAACGCTAACATATAAATAAGATAGGCAGGTCCTACTCCTTTGACACTAAATCATGACTTTTCTTTCACTAAGGTAACTTTGGTTGTCTTCTTTGATCAAACCATCATCTCAGCTGAGTCTGGTAGGCTCAAATTGCAAAACTAATCCCACCTACAGATGCCCCTAGTTGGATAAAAAAGGTCACTTACTGATCTCTCTCTGAGCTGAGGTAGCAGACGAGGTGACATGCCCAAAGCAGGGGCCCTGCGTAAGTGCTGAGGGCAGTCAAGAAGATAGCAGGGGCTTCTACGTAACTCTCCAATCCAACAAAACCCACAGAAATGTCGATGGTGGCAATGTTGTTGGAATTGCCCTGCAGGAGCACAAACAAGATCTGACGTTAGAAAAATTCACTCTGAAAACGCACCTGAGAGTGAACAAGATCTTCTGTAAGTTAAGCCAAGGAATAGCTCAATAGCTGATAACAAACATCACAAAACTTTAAATGTATTTTTTTAAATGAATAAAAAACCAGACCCTCTTGATCTTTACTAAAACTATGATCTATCACGTTTGATCGACATCTGTTTGTCTCCACTCACAGCAGTCACATGAGAAAATCACAGATGTAGTCCTAGACAGTACGTCTGAATCTGAGCCTCCAGAAAGAGGAGCAAGCAGAACTACATGTACTGGAAAATTAGTTGCTTATGATAGCCCACGGCACTGTTATTGATATTAACATAAGAACGAATCGTTCTTGCAATTATTTATTTAAAATGACACGTTTGTAGCTTCTGACCAAAAATACCTTCAGTAATTTTATAATATTTTCAAAAATAAAGACAAAGATCATCATGTTATCAGAAGTCAAATACAGTTTTGGCAGTCCTTAATAAATCATCAGTGGACCCCATAAATAAAAGCAAACAGTCATTAAACTCTGTCCTCACTGACGTTCACGGTGTGTCCTACCTGAAAGTAAAAGAAGGCCTGACCAAACCAGTAATGCATGATAGTGGTTTGGGCTGCATCATAGTGGAGTTTCTTCCAGATAAACTGAGCCATGAGAGTTTGGATCAGCATACAACAGCAGAGGACTGGTAAGTTGTGCGCACGAAACAACAGTGACACCAACAAAACCAAGCCACTGTAGATCTCCCACAATCCCCTGCTCTTCAGCTTGGCATCTGCTGTGATGATCTGGGAGCGCAAGAGGTCCTTGGTCCCGGTGAAGAGGATGCCCAAAACAAAGACGTAGACAAAGCGTGCCTCCACTGTTCCCCTGAGAGAGAACGACAGCACAGAGTGTCAGTTCTTAATTTATATAGATATGTTTTTATTTTTTTACCAAACATCTATTTACTTATTATTGTAGAGATTGTGAGTAGCCTGAGCTGAGGATTTTTTGAGTTTTTGTCCAAGTACTTAGACATTGTATGACATTAAGCCTTCAAACATCCTTTTAAACTGCCAAACATCAATACATCTCAATCATCCAATAAAATCAGAGAGCACTTTGCCAGCTGTGAAGGTGAATGAAAGGATAATCCAGAGCAGGGGGGTACAAACTTACTTGGACATAGTCCGACTTGAGTGTTGCCAGGGAAACGAGACGTTGCCGACAGCTGCCCGGTAGCTGTAGACACCCAAAAGTCCAAGTGCAAGGGCAACCTTCGACACCCACGAGCAACGTCTTTGAACCAGAAGGTAGATGAGAACCAAACAGAAAGCAGCCAGAAAGGACAGTACGGTCCTGTGTTCAGAGCTACAAACAAACAGACCACAGATCAGCTGGATCAGACAGCAGTGGTTACTGAGACAACATCAGGCATGCAGGGAGAAAAGAGGGCAGCACTGAACAGGTGAAAGGCAAAAGTCCATTTCTGTCATTTACAACATGTAAGGAGGATGTAACAGCCACAGATGAACTGGTGAACAATTGTTTTGCAACAGGAGAGGAAGACTCATATTGTTCACACCTCACATAGGTATTTCTTGAAATGTATGAGACGAGCCAATCAGAATAGAAGCATATGCGCTGAAAGGAACAGGTTTGAGACACTGCTTTAACATCAGAAACAGTCGTCTTTCATTTATGTGAGTCAGTCAGCTTGTCACTTTTAGATTTCTTAATGACTGTCAGAGGTTCAAGTGGTCTGATGGTGATTAGAGGTGAATGGAGAGCTGTTTGATTAGGCCATAATCTTTCTTGGTTGTGTGATATGTAAAAAGCAAAACCATATCTTCAAACTTAACAAACTTAAAAAGCTGGACTCTACAAGAGAATCAAAAAATAGATCAAACGAACCTCCGATTAAGTGCCTAAGGTGGAAGTTTTTGTCCTTTACTTTGCTCCCACAAACCTCTCTGGGTGCTTATATTCTATTTCAATCACAATAACTGGAAAGACCAGGAAACCAAACCTGTTTAACCAATGTCCCACATCAGGAAGATGAGCCCACTGCACCCCAGTCTGGTTTAAGGAGCGCAGCAGTCTGCAGCAGATCAGGGTGAAAGGTGGTGTGGCCAATGCTAGCCATTTCTCTGAGCAAACATTTGTCTTTTGGTGAGCAGAGGTATAACAGTCTTTAGAGAGAGGGGTGTGCTCCTCTCCATCAGAGGGGTCCCTCTGCTCTCTGAAGTATTTGCGGCAGACATCTTGGAAGACGGCGAGGCATAGCGTGTTGAGCAAAAAGTACCAGGTTTGGTGCTCCTCCTCGACGAAGCTGCTGGCCGCCAAACTGAGAGTGTGTCCAAGAGTGCCAGCCAGCAATAAAACGTCAAGTTCAGAGAGTGACCACTCACTGCTCCTGAAGGGCACCTATGAAAGAGATAACAGGACAGGTATAAGAAGATACAACTGAAGCAAGGGAGATTAAAATCCAGATTTAAAACCCATGTGTGGTCACAGTAGTGTTCTTTTCAGGAACACATCACTGTAAACTTTATAAGCTAGCATTTTAATGCTGTACTATATTGTAATATTGAGTAATGACAGCCAAGTCAGCCATGTTAAGTGATTTATAGCATAACCCACTATCTGTGTCTTTCCTTTGATTTGTTAAAAATCCATCAAGAACATTACTGGAATACACAACCATCAATATTAGATTCTGATTCAATATTCACTGACGGTCAGCAGCTTTGTTTTTGACTCATTGGTACTATTACATTGCTGTAGTTTGTCAAATCCAAAAAAACAAAACAGTGTGATATATGGATTGGCCATCAGCTGACCTGCGCTCTCATAATCAGCCTCTGAAAAACTGTATCAATCAATCACGAGTATTGGTAACAGATTCCCATGAGGTTTTGACTTTCTCTCACATCAGTTTTAAAGTCTTATTACCTCCACCAAGGAGGTTATGTTTTCGGTAGCGTTGGTTTGTTTGTTTGTCTGTAAGCAACTTTACGGAGACAGTAACAGACGGATTGACGTGAAATTTTCACCAGAGGTGGTGATCCGGACAAAATTCTGGATACTGTGATCCAGAACACACAAAAATAAGGGTGCCGCTGGAATTTTCAATGCTGAAAGATAACCAATGGGCGGCACAGTGGTGTAGTGGTAAGCTCTGTCGCCTCACAACCAAAAGGTCCTAGGTTCAAATCCTGGTCAGGCCATTTCTTGTTTAAGGGGGGACATGAGCTGCTTGGTGGAGGTCTGCGCTCTCTGAGTGCTTTTCTAGTTATTGTTGTTATCCTGCCAGGGATAGCTGGATCGGTTCTATCTGATCTTTTCTTCTTGTTTGATATGAACCTTTTTATAACTTTTTTAAGGCGTGTACTTGCAGCTGATTGGTGCCAAAGATATTCTGTATCATGTTGTTATTGATCGTATTGGCAGCTTTGTCACTAAAAACAAGCCTCCTCCACTAACAGCTTTCTTTTTGCTGTGAAATAAGAGTTGAGTTTAGGGGGACTTTATAAAACTTTCAGCTCATGAAGAAATTCAATTCCTCACCTTGCCGGAAATCTTTGGTCCTGGGGTAAGATGCCTTGTCATCATGGAAACCAGAGTACAAAACATGGCTGAGGAGAAGGCGACAGCAGCAAACACCAGACCCCAGGAGAGGCTGCAGAAGTAACAGGAGCTCTCTGCAGATGTGCACACCAGGACATGCACTGAGGCCAGCAGCAGGCACAAGAGGTAGAAAGGCAGTGAGAGTAAGGATGAGAGGACTGGGAGGTCAACCACCCCTCCACCACTGAGAGCTTCAGGCATAGCCAGCAGTAAGACTAACAGGAGCTTCAGAGCCGGGAGACAGAGACAGGATGAAGAGACAGGGAGAAAGATGTCAGATTAAAATTACATTTGTTCATCTTATTCATTCACAGACACTGATCATGGTTTGTTCAGCATATGTCAACCTTCATTCTAGCTTTGAGCGTAAAACTTTTGAAAGTGGACACAGACAGTACACAAAGAGTATTTCACAGGATTCACAATCGTTTTTTTTCTACTTGAGCTAACCAACTCATCTGTCTTATTAGTGCTGAAGATGAAGGTGTGCTCACCTGAAACACAAAGACCATGCCAGCTATCATGGAGTACATGTCATATTTGCCCAGCTGTTTGCCAAGGGCTGAACTCATGGCTGCCAGGGCCTCCAAATACTGCTTTAAGACCTTCTTCCCCACATTAGATAACACTTCAGAGGTGTTACCCTCCAAGTAAAGCTTCATCCAGTTCCCATGAGCCTTTTCTGCCACACGGAACTGCTCAAAGCCTGCATCTGGATCAGACAGAGACAGGAACAGGTATTGCAGATATTCATCTGTTTTTTAGGTAATCAAAGACTTGCAATTCGAGTAATCTTTAGTGAAACCTCTAATCAGAATAACAATAATGCATCAGATTTCATATAGTGCTTTATCAGAGACCCTCAAAGCACTTTACATTGGATACATCATTCATTCACTCACATAGTCACGGTGGTGGTAAACTACTACTACTACAGAGGACAAATTAATGCCTTTATTCATCATCATAACATTCCTCAGCTAGCAAGCCAATCACAAAGGTGCGTGAAATCATTACAGTTCAGCTGCAAAGGAAATGAATAAACAAATAAATTATAAAAGCACTGGAGCTTTATGAATATTAATTTAAAAAAAAAGTATTTACCAATACATCTAAAAAGGAGATGATTAAATGCAGTTAGTAGTTAATTCAGCTTTTTAGAATAATGTTACATTCACGGCAGTTTATCTGTTAGAGATGGACTCTGCAGTGGGACTGCTCCTTTAAATTCAAGAGTTTTGGGGAACTGAGCAGACTGATGAGTTTTAATGCACCCAAAACTGGACGAACATTATTAGTGACCCACCTTTGTCATAGCCCTGCATGCTGTCTTTGAGCAGACAGCTGAGCTGGTAGCCATTAAGATGTAAAAAGCGTAGCTGATCTCGAAGGGAACTTTCCTCCAGAACACCAGGAATAACTCGACCCACGTTGTTTTGAGATATGGGAAGACCAAGTCCAAGGGCCAACGTTGGAGTCAGGTCAACTTGCTCCACCACTCCAGGCTTCTCCATTTCAACTGGAACAAGAATACACAAATGAAACAGTGAGGACAAAATAATCATCTGCAATAATAAACTTAAAAAAAAATTTCTTTGAAAATCACAGTAAAAGGAAAAAAAAAAGATCCTTTCTTTATTGTGTACCAAAGCATTTCTGTCCATCTAACTGGACAATACAGCCTATTTTTTAAGTCATATATACTACCACTGAAAGGGATCATACATCACTTCTTCACCTTACCTAATTTTGGTGATAGTACCCACTTTTTTATTTCCTTGAAGGAACTCCTAAAAGGATAAATCAAGTTGTATCCAATCTAATCTAATCTAAAACTGAAAGCCAGATTTTTCTTGTGGAAAATTCATTTTATACTGTATCATAAAAATTTGAGCTTTTTACTCACATTTTATCAAAGGCTGCAGATTTAACAAATCATTCAAACTTTCAAGCTATTGAATAGTTTGTCAGCATCAAGACTTTGGCTAGTATTTTATCATGATTCTCAGTGTCTCTCACTTTTGAACTCGGCAGTTGTTGAGCTCATAATCATAACAGCCTCTCTCTCTTGTCATGCTCATTCTTTTCCTTCAGAGCTGTTCACATGTGGCTGCCTGACGGCTTGCACAATGTATTAATGATACAGCAGTCCACTGTTAACCGTAATGGGAGCTCAAACTGCCCCAAGCTCCCAAAATTCGTTCAACATTACATTTATCCCTCAGTTGGATGTGAGCCTGTGTGTTAGATGTGCGTCTGTTTCTGCGTATGGCGGAGAGCTTGGTGTCTCAGACTAGAGTTCTTGGGGGGAGCAGACATGTGAGGGGAGAGCTGTAAGGGTGTCATCATTCTCTGATCCTAGACCTGCCCCATACCAAAACCAGAGTCAGAGACAGGTGGTAAATTAGAGACCCCAGTAGTGGAATCTGACGGCAAGATAATGTTAAATACTGCTATTTCTACCAAATATGTCTTGAGATTAAACTTCGTCACGAACTCTGAAAATCGTATTTCTTGCCCAAGCTTTGTTTACCTTTTCTTTTGAAGGCTGGACTTATGAGCACCAGAGGTGTGTTGACTTCTGGCTCTGATGAACCTCCATGGCTACCAGTCTCAGACATGCCGTGGTCTCCACACAGGACAAGTAGGTAGGGCAGGGATCCCTCTGCTTCCTGTGAGAGCAAAGATCTGATTAGTGGACTTCCTATATGTCCTTACTTTTTGACCATCAGAACAGGCATCTTGATACAACAGCAGCTGACCCTTTTGCAGTTTTAGAGTCACTGAGACTGTGTGACAGTTGTTAGGCCTGCAGAGAAGCAGTAAAACTTTTCTAACAGTAGTCACAGAAAAAAAACGTGTTTTTTTTTTCATCCCTACATCACGTCTAAAACAGTCACTGACTCTTTTTTGTACTATAATTCTGTTATAATGTAAAAGACGATGCACTTGAATATCACTTCTAACAGAAATATCTGTCAAATTCTAAAATCTAGAGCAAAACCTAAAGTATTTATATTTTTTCATTGATTCATTTAGGGTCTAAATAAAACATGTTACTAGTTAAGATAACCATGTGTATTTGACTTTAATATGAGTGATATAAAAGATCTATACATGACTTTCTATTTTTGGTTAATCAATAAATTCAGGCAGCTGCACAGAAATACAAAAGTCCCTCATGGTGATATTTCAATGAGCCACTTATTTTTTCATTTTGAGTTAATTTTACTGGAGATCAATGAAGTAAATCTAATAATCAAATTTAGCTGAGGCCCTGCAACATATCTGGAAAATAAGTCAAATTAACTTTGACCACTCAGCAAAGTCAATAATAACAGATTACTCAAATGTGTAACAATAACATCACATATGAGTATTTTTAAAAAACAGCCCTTCAATGAATAAATCCCAGGCACCAAAGGTGACTATGATTCACATTTCATATATTTCTCTTTGTTTTTAATTTGAGTCATAATGTTTTAATAGAGGTCCCTGAAATGTCTGCCAGTTGTATTTGATGTGTTAAAATCTTTTATTTACCTTAAAACTTTATTTACCCTCTTAATCTTCTTCTTTCATATTCTTTGTCACTTGAGATAAAATATTAAAACAAGCTGAACATAATTTTGATGGCACAAATGTCAAATTGTAGCCTTTTTCAGATTGATTTTGACATTATTCAACTTCAGAAAGAGTGTAAATGAACATACAAATCCACCATCTGAAAAAAACAATATAAATGACTTTAAACAGCTACATCTGAAGAGAGGCTGAAATCTAATCTTTAAGGTTTTTATCACTGGAATCTCCTGTCTGCACATCACACACAGGAAAAGTAGTTTGGCACATTATTATAGGGGAAAAAAATTAAAGAGAAACTCAAAGCTTTAGAGCTACATTTTAATTTCATGATTTTCACAAATCAAACTTAAAAAAAGTTTTGAAAAATCTTATTAAATCTTATTCATGAAAGTGTAAACCAAAACACACAGACACACACATTCCTGAGTGAACAAAGAATTGGACAAAATTACCTTTGAAATGAGAGCGCTGTGAATCTTCTTCAGGATGTCATCCATCTCTAACAGTTTGGGTTGGATGAGGGAACTGTGGGGTCCACTGATATGACCGATATGATCCAGGCCAAGGTAATGGAGGATCAAAATATCCCAGTCATCTCTTTTGAGGGTGCTATCTAAGTGGCGGGTCACATTGTTGTCAACCTGAAGTGAAGAGTTGTGTTTAAAAGACAAACACTCATTGATTTACAGGATCTTAAATCTTAATTTAGGTAAAAATTCTAAGTTGTCTGTACTATATGTACCGTACTAAATACCTCATTGTATAACAACAGCCTTTTTCAACCCTTTTTATGCCATTCCTCTATAAAATGCTCACTAATACAGTGACTGGTGGTTGATGACTACTGCCTGCTGAAGACAGAAGATGAAGAAAATGTTGAGGGGTTTCTTTGGTAGGCCGCCTTACATTACAGGCCCTGTGTCTTAAAGCTCCATTGGCAAGTCCAACCCCCTAAGCAGAGGTTCTTTAAGGCGAAATAGATTATTCCACCACATTAGACCCCAGGTGCTCACTTTAATTCTCATTAATGTGAGCAAAAACCACATAACACACATAACACTTGAGTACAGATGGCCCCTGTTCGTGGCTCTCACATACCTCTGTGTAATCAGATACAAAGAAGGACGTTGTCCCGTCATACTCCATGAAGTGTTTTGGGAAGAGGCGCACCCAGGTATCATCTCCATAAAAGATCATCCTCTTCCCTGCTGTCTTGGCCTGCCAAATCAGGTTGTCTTCCAGCAGAGCGGGAGAATTCAGGTTCATCACGACATCAATGAATCCTGGAATACTGCCCGTGGTGAGAGCCTGGGAAGATATATGATAAATGAGAAAAATAAGACAATACAGGCATGACTTTCATTTAAAAAAAAATACTTTGCTTCCTCAAGCTTTTATGCTACTTAATGCAGATATAACACACTGACAGTCTGAGGTCCTGATCTGTTAACATGCACACTAGAATGAAAATGAAGCTGTTACACTGCCATCATGCTCCGCACAAGCAGCTACAAAGAGGTTGGATGCATCAACCTTTTTACATAGCCTGCATATAAATGCACCACAGTACAGTGAGCCTAAACTTACAACCATTACATGCAAATGCTCAATCAGAAAACCAGTACCTTGACTTTGTATTTCAGATGTTCTGTATTTCCACAAATTTAAAGTGACTGACTTTCTCTACTCCACAGGAACAGACATGAGTAAATTTCTGAATAGCTTCAATTACATGTGACATTTTCTTTCAACCTGATCAGAATCATTCAGATAAGAGGTGATCTGGTCAAGACAAGTATTTTATGTGCATAAAATCATTTTTAAAGACTCAGAGTTGCTCCTCTTGTCTGATATGTAGTAAAGAAGAAGCTCTTCCTTTTGCCTGTTCTTCTTGTATAAAAGCGCTGCTGTCACAGGGTCAGTGTGCACAGTGTACTACAAGTCAAAGTAACTGAAAGTCTCTTTTTCAGCTGTCGCTTGGAATTTCACTCTCCTCGCCTCTAATGTCTGTGATTGTGGATGTCTGTATTTCTGACCATTGAGCTGTTTGGGAATCCTGACTTCTTTTTAAGTCTTTAAATAAAGTCCATTTCAGGCCAATTCAGAAATAGCTGACCAAAAGTCTTGCTTTACTTTGACACTAACCTAAGTGGAAACTTATATCACATGGGGCACCCATGGGCAGTAATAAAAATAAAAATAAAAATAAAAATAAAAATAAAAATAAAAATAAACATTTATTTGACCATGACTGAAGACTGTAGGATGAAGGCTGTAATCAAGATCTGTTTTGACTTCAGGCTCTTTTCTTCATTCACTCATCCCCCAAATCCTTGGATTATAGTGGAACATCTGTCCCTCTAAGTCTCCATCAATCACCCCCCTATTTTATCCCTACATCCCTTCTTCTCATCATCATTGACCTGTTATACTTCCTGATAAACATTTCCATCTGTTACATTAAACATGGGGTGGTTTTAACAACATCAAAAATTAAATAAATCTTCATAATTAAACAAATTTAAATTAGCTGATAAATCTCATAAATAATAAATCAACCAACGAATAAATCAGATAAATAAATCAAAATAAGCAGAAAATCATATATTTTTTGTGACACTTTGTCCCAAGACAATTGCTAGCTGTAAAATGAAACTGAATTCTTATTGTGCTCCAAAAACTTCCATGAAAGTGAAAAATATGTGATTTGATTATCTCTTTTTTTATTTTTCCCTCCACAACTATGTAACAACCCCCAGAAAGGACCCTGATGCTCAAGTGGGGGTGGAGCCTTTAGGTTGAAAATCATCTAGACTTCAAAGGCAGAGGTGGCGATCGGACAAAACTGGCAGAATTTAACTTATGAATATCCGTCTGGAATTTTACAGACATCAAGATCAATGATGAACAATTTAAAGTGTAACTGTTAAGTCAAAACTGTATTTATACCACATGTCACCCTCAAAAGTTCACAGCATATTCATACACAACAGTGCAGAGGCTGCTGTAAAAAGCACCCATCAGGATGAACTAATCCCATACTGCTAGCATTACTACACCATCAGGAAGAGATGATCACAGGGCAGCCAGAGACAGGAGTGGGAGTCTACATGTACCAAGACCTTGACCTTCCCATTGAAGGTTTGGATTATTCATAGGTATACAGACAACATGATTCACATATTTCAGAATTGAAATTATAGTTATTTTTTAATGACTCCAAATCAGTCGACAATGGTCTTACGTAAAGACCAGCACTCAGCATTACAGAGGCAAAGTGCAAGAAGTACACATTTGACCCTGTTCAAATTCTGACCGGTAACACATTTCAGGACTTTTGTTTTATCATCTGACAAAGTTTCCAGGTTCAAATACGTCCTGTCCCGGAAAAAAATGGTGTCAAATTTGCAGTAACTACAAATTCCCTTCCTTCCCCAATAAATAAATAAATTAATAATAATAATAATAATAATAATAATAATAATAATAAAATTGCCTCGACTTTATCTGAAGAGCAGACTACAATGCTGCTATACTAAGCCAGGGAGCACAAACAGCTCTCCATGCACTGTGACTTTGAACAGCAACGCAGACACTTATTCACCAGTTTATAATTTTAGGAAGCCAAACTAAAGTAAGAACAGTTTCTGCCTCCTACTGTGATGTTGTTGTCCAGATCAGTAACACTTCCTCAACCAAAACCCCACTACATCTGACATCAGAACAGCTCATTTACCACACTTCTACTACAAGAGGGTGAGCAATCTTCCATTGTAATACAGATATCTTTAACTTCAAACTTGACAGAAGGAATTAATATCAGCTCTAAATCTGAGAAATTATCAAACTGTAAACAATAATAGCGATAATGATATTCATTTTTAAATTAAACAATGTAGAAATTTATTCAGGAAAAGGGGTTGTTTGTAATGTGTTTCCTGTGTATATCTGTATAAAACTAATGAAAATATTGTTGAATATAAAAAACTTTTTTAATGGTTGTCTGGTCAGTCCAGAAACTTTAAGGGTTCTTTAAGGGTTTGAAGGTTCTACATTTTGCCTTTGAAGGACTCGCAGTATACTTTATTTGTAGCATCACAGTCTGAGAAATCCAGGCTGGAGTCGAGCTCCACTTTTTCAGAGTTTTTTTTTTTTTTCATTAAGATTCAAACATCATGACAAAAGAGAGGGAGCTTACCTTGATTCTGGGCATGGTGACAGTAGGAGGTCTAGCCTTGGCCACAAAGCTGTGAGAGGAGCCTCTCTCCACTATGTGTCTGGTGTAGGGCAGATACCTGCGACCATCAGGACCAAATACAAAGTCCTCTCGCAGGGCGTCCACTAACATGATAACGACCCTTTTAAAGAGAGGCTGGGGGAGGCGGGTGGAGTTAGGGGAGCTCCCTGAAATTAGAGGAAATATGACAGTTTTAGTTCGTCGTGACCCTCAGAGGCTCCTGTAGCAGCGCAGGTAACAGAACACCTGAACTCACCTGTCAGGGGCTCCGCCGGGAGGTCCGACAGTCTGTTTTTGGATGAGAAGGAAGACTTAACAGGTACAGGGAAAAATCCCCGCAGGAACAGGGCAATTCCAATGCCTTCAAATATCAAAATAAAAGAGGCAAAAACTGATGATCGTACTTTCATCTTGACAGTTGGACGGAGGACCAGACGCTTTCTCCTGCTATCGTTACAGAAATGAAGAAAATAGGCTGCCTTAATGTCCCATTTCAGAAAAAAGGAGAGACAGTGCGCATCTAAAAAGCTACGCGTCTCGATACTGATTCACTTGTGATGTGCAGAGAGTTGCCCTCATTATAACTATAGTAAGAACAGCACAGGTATCGAAGCTGATGCTGCCTCTCAAATCCACTTCCGCATTGAACTACGGGGCAAGAGAGGAGTCAAACAGAACGAAACGCTTCTGTCCCCACAGTGGCGCTGACAGCTCAACAAAATAAAAGTATTGAAAATTACACACGCAGGTTTTTCGTATAAAAAGAGACATGTGGGGAAAAAGTTCCACTTGAAAATAATATAATTAGAAGTTGATGATACACTGAATTTAAAATGTAAAAAAAGCAATATAAATATGAATAGGTAGATCATGTGATGTGGCATTTTATCAGTCACCAAAGCAAAATAATAATAATAATAATAATAATAATAATAACAAATAAATAATATAAATAATAATAATAATAATAATAATAATAATAATAATAAGAAGAAGAAGAAGAAGAAGAAGAAGAAGAAGAAGAAGAAGAAGAAGAAGAAGAAGAAGAAGAAGAAGAAGAAGAAGAAGAAGAAGAAGAAGAAGAATGCCTTGTTTACATTCACATATTTTTGAATTTGTAGTTACTTGGTGCAGTTTGTGACTGAAGACCATGACAAATGTTATTACACCATATTCTGGGTTGAAATTTTGATTTAAAAAATTTTTAAATCACAAAATTGTGGAAAGGGTTTAGGTGCTTTGTGCTAACTTCAATGAAATGTTAGTGATAAATAGTGAGCTCATTAACTAAAAGGTCCTCTGAAGCAGCAGTAAATGTCCACGTGTGACAGCATCATGAAGGTCATTTTACGTCTTCATCAAAAAATGTTTAAAATGGGGGAAACATTTTTTAAAAAATGAACAAATAAATAAAAGAAATACTAAATTCATCAACATCTTTGACTTTCGCTCTTTGGTATGACATTATGTCCTACTGTGGTGTAACACACAAAAGGACCCAGAATTAGTTTTTATATTATAAAAAATATATATTAAAAAACTGTTCAGTATGTCTTCGTTGGGCGTTAAAAAAAAAGTTTCATTGAAATCAAAAGACATCAAACAAGGTCACAAATCATGGCGGGAAAAAAACACTTATTTTAAACAGATTGTTTTTGAAGTTCAAGTCTGAGAATTACAAATCTGACTCTGATTTATTGAACAAAGAGGATCATCACCAGCACATAGCACCCAAATCATCACAGACTGCAGAAACATTGTGTTAAAGTTAAAACAGTCTGTGCCTTGAAACTCTTCCCCTAGACTCCAGGGTCTTAATTTCCCTGTGAAAAATCCTTTTTTGAATCTCAGTTTATTTTCTAAACATCCAAAAACTCCTCAAAGGAGATTGAAACTACTGATAGGTTAGAGGCTAGACAGATGAGTTTCATTGGTTCCTGCTGCCATGTGATGAAATCTTCAGATTTTTTTGTGAAAACCGTTTGAAAATAACTTAAAGAACTTTTAATGAGCAAATCTCAAGGAAATTGATCCCACAATTAGTTAAAATATTTCACCAAGCCTATCAAACACTTTTGTTGTGAATTATTAATTTTTAACTTCATCATCAGTTTGAATAAAAAGAAAATATTCAGGGTTGGGACTGAAACCAGCTTCATTGATCAGATTTTATATTCATTCCATGGTTCTTTTATCTATTTACAAACTTCTCAAAATGCAGCTTGGCCATGACCCTAACAGTGGTTCTGAATACAGTATCATTAGGTGATTAAAAGACTCTGAATAATTTAAATTCTTAAAACTTCACTCCTGGTCAGTGACTTCTACAGTTCTCTTAAAGCAAAACAATAATTCACAAATACATCTACAAGTTTTAATTGACATAGATTACAAACACTGTAAAATCGCTCAATAATTTACATGTCAAACTGTATAATTACAATAGTTTACAGCTTCAGCTTCATTCTATTCAGGGAAAACAGCAGAGGCTTCCAGCTAGATTCCAGTCATGTCATTAATGACATGAAGACCACACTGTCAGTGTCTATTTGTCTCGTTTCAGAACATTAATAAATGCGTCCTTGGGAACCTCCACTCTGCCGATAAGGCGCATCTTCTTTTTGCCCTCTGCCTGTTTCTTCAACAGCTTCATCTTCCGCGAGATATCCCCTCCATACTATCAAAACACACATATAATATAATCTCAGAATTGTAGTCATTGTTTGTTGATTTAATTACCTTGTATAAAAAGCTTCACTTACACATTTTGCAAGGACATTTTTTCTGTAAGCCTTTATTCTGAAAAATATAAATACATCAATGTCACACTTCTTTTGGTATGTAAATGTAATTAGCACATCTTACAAGCAAAGATAATTCTTAGTGTTTTGTATGAACTGCAAGCACTGATTTGCACCTTGTTACATTTTAACTTCAGCGTATACTCACGTTTCCCTTGCAATGACCTTGCTTCCAATCGCTGCCTGTACAGCAATCTCAAACATCTGCCTCGGGATGGCGTCTTGGAGACGCTCACACATAGCCTTCCCTGTGGTGTATGCACGGTCTCTGAAAAATAAATAATAATAATAAATAATAAAGCTATACCTTAATAAATAACAATAATAACTATCATCAAGAGGACAATGAGAGACACCAGAACAACAACACAGACTAACTGAGGTAACTATCAAGACCTGGAGTTCAATAACACCCAGCAGACACATAGACTGACTGCCTCCATGCCACAATGCTTTGATGCAGTGATTTATAGGAAATGGAGTCAACATTTCTATATTATAAACCCACTGTTTGGATTTGTGTTTCCTCATATTCAAATATTTTGAGATGGTGGAAATTTACATTTTTGTGAGCTGTTAGCAACAATCATCATGAGTCAAACAAAAAAGTCTGGAAATTTTTCACTTGGTATGTAATGAATCTGGAATATTTGAAACTTTCACTTTTTGTAATAAATTATGGGGAAAAAATGAACTTTTCCAGGACACTCTAGTTTTTGGAGCTGCACCTGAACATACAGAGGGGCCACAGTTGGGGATCTTTAAGTGACTTAATCTGTGCTGGGAAACACACTCTCAAGCTGCATCTGTGTTCCACTTCCTGAGAAAATTAAAATATTTATTTCCAAAAACACTACGCTGCATGTAAAAGCCAATAATTCAAAGTATTTGAGTTTGGTTCTTTTTTTTTTTTTTTCATTTGTAAGTTTGTAAATAGGAAGTACTTGTGCGCAATTGTGGTGAGTTCTTCCACCGGCAGCCCATTCAACAGAATATCCAACTTGATCAAATCAGCAGATTGATAGCCCGCATTCTCGTAGTCAAAACTGTGGAGGAAAAAGTTGTGCCACGCTTTTAAAGTCAGCCACAAGTGTTTCACTGCAGTAAAATACACTCACACTGCATATAAGCTGAGAAAGTTTATGTTCATGAACGTAGTTTTACCTTGCATATCCAGAAGAAAGAGATTTCAGAAGATCATAGAAATCCACAACAATTTCATTTAAAGGGAAAAGATACTTCATCATGACACGCTGGTCATCAATGTACACCATGTTTTTCTGCACAGCTCTGCGACTCTTGAAGAAAAAAAGACAGTTATCATAAAAATAATAAATAATGACTCTAAAACAAGTCCTGCAAGTGTTTACAAAGCAATCAGGGCATTCAAGGTAGTTCAGAAGGTAAACAGGTAAACCAGCAGTTGAGCCCTCCAGTCTAGATGATAATTTTCCCCCTGGTATTATGCTGAGCCCCGGCTTCTGTTTGAAGCCGGTCTATTTGTAAGGGTTTCATATTACTAGATTCATTTAACTGATGTACAGATCTGAAAATTAAAGAGACTTTGAACGTCTTACACTGAACAGCCCTAAATATTTACTGCAGAGGGTTTTCCTCCACACTTCTTTTCCAAAGTTTTTTTCAATTTGCTAAGGTCTATATTTTTTAAGGTTATAGTATATAACTCAGTGGAATACCGTACTATGTTTTTCAGTACATTATGTCAGTTTGATCTTACCAAACAGAGCGATATGATCTTGCCAGTGTAAGTGTCTGGAGTGATAATGGTTCCCAGTACCACAGGCTCCAAATACTCTGACACAACTGATCTGTCTGGGAACTGAACAGGGTTAACAATGGTAATCTCCTCGCTGCCGTGTTCCTGTGAAGGCAAAAAAACAAGGCTTTACTATTTATGTTCAACCCAGATCCCAAAAGGGTTGGGATGCTGTGTAAAAAGTTGGTGAAAACAGAATTTGATGGTTAGCAAATCATTTAAGGTCTTCCAGTCAGGACCATTTTTGTCAAAACAGTTACTGACTTGCATGCATTAGTTATATTTGGTAGTATGGCTCTGTTCTAAGAGCTCCCTAGCCCCCCCCCAAAATCCCAAACTACTGCAACAGGCAATCCTCCCCAGCCTCCTTGTGCTTACATCAAAGTGCCAGCAGGGGGAGACAGAGCAGCAGCAGAGGCAGCAAAACGACTGTACAGCCAGATCTCTCTGGCCCTCATATACTGACATAAAAGCCCCAGCAGGAGGAGAAAGCTACGCAGTTTAATGAGGGAAACCATGGCACTAAGGTGGTCTGCAGATTTGAATTAAGTTCATACAGGTAAAGGAGGCCAAAGCCAAATTAACTAATGCACAACATTTTTGCTGCAGTTCAGATTCTCTTCCTGATTAACTGACAACGCTAGCCCAGCTCAGCAGTAACACCAGAAAACCCAATGAAGGAAACATTTTTACCTTGATGAGTTTGGCTGAAGAGAGAATGGCCTTGTAGGGTACAGTCGGTGCAGTAACTATAACGGATGCATTGTATTCCTGTTCAAGCCTTTGATTGAAGACCTCCATATGAAGAAGACCCAAGAAGCCAAGCCTGCAGGGAGACAGGAGTGTTAACAGGTTTTATAAAGTTTATGGTTTCATACTCCATAAGCAAGAGTCCTCCTTAAAAAAGAGTCTATCTAGTTACTAATAATGTAACATATCTAGAAGTACATGCACAGCCTGCAAAAGACACTAATATCTTACACTCCTGTAAATCGAAAATGGGTAGCATTCAAAATCAATTCAACAAACTTGGGTCAGCTCCTAGTTAAGCTGCTATAGGTTTAGTCTACCAGGAGGACTGGCACCTTTCACCTCCTTCTTTATTCTTTCTGTTTGTCTCAGTAACTTTGAATCATCATGTCCCTTTAAGTCACTAACCACAGTCTTTTCTGAGAGTCCCTGAGCTCCCTCATCCTGTAGGTTCCTCTGGATTGCTGTTGCAGATATCCTGCTGCCATAGACCTGCCTGCTCTCCAGCTGCTTCAGCTACATGCACTAGTCTCTCCATTTCTATCACTGTTGTGAAGCTAGTAAAAAATGTAGAACTTTTTGATTATTTTGCTTTCATTGGTCTAACTCCAGCCCCCATTATTTTAATCAACTCCATTATTACAAATGCAATCACTGCTGCGCTCTTACTGTAGGTCTGCTTACTTTAATTTTCCATGAACCTAATTTTCCAAGATGGGACTCAATGTTTTTCCATCTTTACAATGGGTCTCTATGTAAATGTTGTGAAAAGTTTGGTCTAAGAAAGAAAAGTTTGTTTGATATAGCACCTTTCACAGAGCAAGTGCTTCACAAAATCCCAATAACAAGAACAGCAGCAGTCTAGACCAGCTCTTTCTGTTAAGTGTCTTCTCTTCGCATTTGTTGTGAATTGGTGGTGTGTAAATAAAGATTGATGAAGAGAAGAACAAAATCCTTGCTATGGCAAGGAAAAATAGCCCACCACCTTTTTTCATTGTAAAGTTAGGAGAAGTCCTCACCTCCATCCTGCACCCAGAGCTATGCTGCTGTCTCTTTGAACTGAGACACTTGAGTCATTCAAGGTCAGTCTCTCAATGGCGCTGCGAAGGCCTTGATACTCTGACTGGTCCATTGGATACATACCTAAGGGGCAAAGACAGAGTTCTCATCAGAACTCTTCTGTTTTGTGGAAAGCTCTGACTACTCTTGTGGCACAATCAAGTAGAACAAAACATGCATTTAAGTTGAATGTATATTCAATGACACCAGGAAAATCAAAGTTACTGTTATATTCTGGGTATATGCATGAGGTACTCAAAATGGTTAACACAGGAATTTGATCTTTTAACATCAACCGGCTGTAAATAAACACGTCTTACCGGCAAAGACCATGGCTCTGGCAGGTTTAAACCCTGGAAGAGCTTCCACAGGCTGCTCCCGGTGGTACAGCGTGTCACCAATCTGGGCCTCCTTCACATCCTTCATCCCTGCAATAATGTAGCCCACTTGGCCTGCAGATCTAAACAGGGATCAGTCAGAGTAGCAAAAGCTCTCATTGGACAATATACTTTTATATACTGAAGTTAAGAGATAGATTACAGTAGAATGGCATTTGACTCAGATACCTCTGCAGCAGCTATATCTGATTCAGAACTTAAATAATGAATTTTTAAAGAGTTTCATGTTTATTATTGGTTATTCCACTAACTGATTAATCCACTTATCATTCAATTGTGCGTTATTATTAGCCCTACCAGTTAAAAATCAACACAATGATATCAGAGAGATGACAAGAGAAAAGAAAGCCACATACAGCCCCTGTGTTTGGTGCTCTTCTGGCCTGAGAAGCCCCAGCTCATTCACCTCGTAGGTTTTGCCAAGATGTGCCGACACAATCCTGTCCCCTTTCCTGACCTGGCCGCCAAACACAGCAATGTTGGCTATAACCCCTCTATAGTGGTTAAAACTGGAGTCAAACACTAGGGCTTTAAATGGGTCATCTGTTCTCGCCACAGGCCTACAAAAAGATGTAGGAGAGGAAAGCATCAGCTTTTGGTAGCTCACATGCTCCTTTGAGATAAAAATCAGAAAGAGTCCTCTTACGGTGGAATTCTGTCCACAACTGCTTCAAGAACCTTTTCGACATTTGTTCCAAGTTTAGCCGATATCTGAAAAAGTTAAATGCCATAAACGTCATTTCAAGCTGGTGATGAATACTTGAAAGGATGGTACATATTATCTGATTACCTTAATGCACTCCTCTCGAGGAATATCAAACAACTTTTCGATCTGTGACCCCACTCTCTCAGGGTCAGCATTTTTCAAATCAATCTGAGGAAAAGGTTTAAAAGCAAACTGGTATTTTACAAAAGCAGAAAATAAAATCTGAATAAACCAAAAGAAAGGAAGTGTCAATGCACCTTGTTGATAACAGGGATGACTGTCAGCTCAGCTTCAAAAGCCAGGTAGAAGTTGGCCACTGTCTGTGCTTGAACCCCCTTCACATGTCAACAAAACATGAAATACTCAATCAGAGGCATCATGTACAGCCACAATAACTCAATAAAGCTAGAAATCTTGCTCTTACCTGATTGGCATCAACTATCAACAGGACACCTTGGCATGCAGATATTGATCGTGACACTTCATAATTGAAGTCCACGTGGCCCTGCAGAAGGAAAAAGCCTTTAAGATTGTGGTAGAGCACAAGAGTGAAATGACTTACAAAGACGAAGTATTCTCTTTAAAGTAGTGATGATAGCATCTGTGCTAGAAGTGAAAAAATTTGTGTAATTTACGTTGAAAGACACATCAACTGCTTAGCAATGAGAGCAAAATAAAATAAATGTCAACATGAACATTCCTGCAGATTCAGAAATCCTGTTTAGCTCTCTTAAGGTAACCTTTAGCTGAATTGTTCAGTTTAATGTAAATTTTCATGACACATTTTTCTACTCTCAAATACTGGAGGAAGGCATCTCTATCTTCTAGCTCCTGTTTCTAAGCTTTTTCTCCTTCACATCTCAAGCACTTACCGGTGTGTCTATGAGGTTCAGAAGGTACTGCTGTCCCTGGTGGTTGTAAAACAACGAGGCAGTCTGGGCCTTAACTGTTATTCCTCTGTCTCGCTCCACTTGAAGTTTGTCCAGCACTTGTTTATTCCTGTCACTCTTTGCTATCGCACCTGTTTATCCATGACATTCATTGGGATCAATGCTTTCATCAACAGTCAGTAAAGACATCAATAAAACATGTTTGTGCTGTGATATCAGTGGTGAGAGATGTATGCTCTGAAAGTGGTGCAGCCACAGAAGCTTCTCCCCAGGGTGAATGAAGTTGACCATAGGAGACCACTTTTTTTGGTATGCTATATTATCAAGACAGTTATGTTTACACTCATTCTGTTGGTTTGCAGGGATTCACAACATCTTGAAATATATGCAGATACACTAGTTAGAGACAAAACTATGATTGCCTTGATGTAGTGATCTGAAATATGAAAAAATGGCTCATCTTACCCCACTCTCCCCTACTTTAAACTGAGATGAGTACACACTAGTATCATCACTAAATAAAGAGCCTCTGCATTCCTGTAAAAATCAAACTTAAAAGTGTAATAAGTATCATACCTGTCATCTCCAGCAGTCTGTCAGCCAAAGTGCTTTTCCCATGGTCAATATGAGCGATAATGCAGAAATTCCTGATTCTGTCAGTGGTGAACTCAGACAGGTCTGTAGTGTCCTTTAAAGATAATAATAATAAAACACTTTCTTCAACACGACATCCACTCTACAAACACCAGGGTCTTTTTTTCTACCGGGGCAAGCACAAATCTACAAATGCAGTAAACAGGTTTGTGAAAATGAAGATTATTAGCATATAGTGTAATAAAACAGGGCTCAGCATGCGTTTGTTTGTGTAGACATGTGTTTACAGAAGCTCCAGTTCCTTCAAAAACCTCTCAGCTACCTTGTCAGCACGTGTGATGATCGTCTTTTTACTGCTGGAGAACACAGGAAATCTTTTCATCCGCCTCTGTCTCATCAATATGTGGCTCGTTGTGTGGTTTTGTACTGTCCTTTTGTATATTTTGGACTGTGAAATCCATTTTAGAAGAGATGTTTCACCACACCGTCTCACTACAGGGAGCATGTTTCCGTCCAACCTTACCCAATAGGTCACCTTAAGACATAATGAACAGCCAGATCATGTAAAACATATTTTCTTATATGTCGGATACCACTGTCAGGCCATTCTTGATGTTTCTCTCATCTTTTCAAGAGAGTAGTCCTAAAGTCAACTCCGGTGTAAGACATGCCGGGCGCTGACATTTTGAATGCTACGTCAGCCGCAATGGATTCTGGGTAAGGTATTTTTTTATTTTTTTATTTTTTATTTATCGAAGGCATGGTGTGGCGCCTAACCTGACAAATACTGTGTCCGATAACATTAAATTATAATAAATAATTGTCTTTATAAATTGTTATTGAAAAAAATACATATATAGTTTCCTTCAACAATTTTGGTATGCGAATTTACAACAGGGCCAGTCATAGGCTGTGTCAGAAATGGATCCCTAACCCCTATATAGGTGACTACAGAGCAGTTTAATCGACCACTCTGGGTGACTACATGGGGGTTAGCGCCATTTTGAGGGGTGTCTGAAACCTCAGTGATCAACTGCAGTGCCCCATATAGGCGACTAAAAATTTCTCATAAAGCATTGCAAAATGTAGTGACCATCCGATGGTCACTCACCAGGGGTGGGCATTCCGTCATGCATTGCGTCTTGCCATGTAGAGTCCAAAACCTCTGGTGATTGAGTTCACTACATAGTCAACCATATAGTGAAACACTATATGGGGGTTAGGGGTTAGGGATTGAGTGATTCATGTCGAACACAGTCAGTACAAAATTGACAGATCTTAAGAGTTAAATGTTGAATATGTTAGAGGAAAGTCTATATCCTGGTTGGTGTGAAAGGTGCAAGCATGAAAACCTGACTAACTATGTTAGAAGTGTTTATCACAAGATAAGAAATACTTTTACAATTTCAAACTGTACACAAATAAAATATACATTTTGTCTTTTCAGTGAAAATGCAGCAAACTGCGTCCTCGTCTTATTAAGTGTATACCAAAGTAGATGAACAGTCTTCATGTTGGGTTTCTCTCACCTGTTACCTCACTTTCTTGTGTCTTATACCAAACACCATAGTGCTCATGCCACTTGCTGGCCAAAAAAGGGAAATACAACAAAATGTGTATTTATTAAAATTGTGGTAGCTACTAGCCCTAAAAACTGACTCTATGTTATCAGAGAATTCTGTCCACAACTGCTTTAAAAGACTTAACTATGTTTAGCAAATATCTGAAAAATTTAGGCCATAAATGTCATTTCAAGCTGGCGATGAATAGATGAAAGAAAGGTTCATAATATCCGATTTACCTTAGTGCACTCCTCTCATGGAAGATTAAACAACTTTTCAATCTGTGACTCCACCCTCTCAGGGTCAGCATTTTTCAAATCAACCTGAGGAAAAGGTTTTAAAGCAAACTGGTATTTAATAAAAGCAGAAAATAAAATCTAAATAAACCAAAAAAGGAGAGGTCAATGCACCTTGTTGTTATTAACATCACTGACCTTAATAACATAAAACTAGAGTTAACTACTATAAGGCCCACTGACTGTAATCACATTAACATAGTCCATAATTACTCAGATCCTAACCCTGTAAACTGTATTCATTTTTTTTCACCATTTCATGAGCTGTTGTTGTTGTTGTTGTTGTTGCTGTTGTTTTAATGTTGCTGTTGTCCCCTGCCTCTTTCTCTGAAATATTCTCTCTGAAAGATTGATTGATTGGGATGAATTTCAACTGAGCTTCAAAAGCCAGGAACAAATTGGCTACTGTCTGTGCTTAAACCCCCTTCACATGTCAACAAAACATGAAATACTCTATCAGAGGCATCATGTACAGCCACAATAACTCAGTAAAAAGCTAGAAATCCTGCTTATTCTCTCACTCTTTGCTATTGAAACCTGTAATCCATGACATTCATTGGGATTAGTGCTTTCATCAACAGTCAGTAAAACAAGTTTGTGTAGTGATGTTTCAGCACATCAATGGTGAGATATGTATGCTCTGAAAGTGGTGCCGCCATAGGTGTGAATCTATCAAAGTTTCTGCTTGAACGGTTCGTTGAGTGTGTGTCCCTCTGTATATCATGCTATCAAACCCTTAAATAGTGCTGGGTTCAAAGGTTTATTGAATTATCAGTGTATGAAGAGTCTCTGTTCATGTACAATAGGTATTGGGCCATCCTGTCATGCAACAGGATGGCCCAGCCAGGCTACAACAGGTACTCATATCTGGCATTTTTTAAAATGTGATTTTAAAATTAAAAATTAATCAATATATTTTTCAAAGATTTGTAGAAATACATGTAAGCTAAGCAGCCCTTCTAAATATGTCACATCCATCAGTATACATCTCTGTGAGCCCACAGCCCCTGAGAGGACAAAGAGTGATAGCCATGGATTTAGGAGATAAAACTCAGATAAGAAAAGATGTTGTGATGGGATGAGGGCTTCATTGCTTGAGGGATGGAGGGATCAGCCTGGAAAGTGAAACTTCAGCTAGCTTTGTATTATAGTTCACTGCCCCATGGCTTTCACGGGTTTCACAAACACACAGACAGTGATAGTTCCTGGCAGTGCAGAAACACTGCTTGACAGCATTCCCTCCTGCTATAGATGCACTGAGCTGCTTTATTCACAGTCCCATGACTGTGGACTGGGCTGCTGTAAGCTTCAAACTGATATAATCGTAGCTGTAGGGAAGATATCTGCATATATTCATAAATACAAATGATTTTAAAAGTCAGTTTTTAATCAGAAAGCACAGAACAAAAGAAATGTTTTTTATTCAAAAAGTGCAGAGATTCAAGAATTAATCCCAGAAAATAAATAAAAAGAATCAGAAAGTCAAATATGAATACAAATGTCAAACTTAACTACACGTCATCCAGAGCTGGTGGAAAGGCTGAGAGAAATATTCAGATTCAGATTCAGATTCAGATTCAGACAACTTTATTTATCCCCTAAGGAAAATTCTTTTTGCAGTTACCCTGCCATTTGATCCATCCAAACACACAAATCAAAAATCACACAGATCAGATTAGCAGACAAACAAACCAGACAATATTTCGTATAACCCCACATCATCTAACATAACATGAAAACATTTTAAAAGAACACAAAATATCTTATATATAACATAAATTTGTAAAACATCTTTTAAAAAAATACAATAAACATTTACAACAAAATATTTTTACAAATGCAAAATATTTTTTGAAAACAAAAGTATGTTGAAAACATGACTACATTTAAAAAATCACAAATAATGTTCTAGAATTTGTTTGTGTTCTTTTGTAATTTTTTTGATTGCTATTTGTTTGCATTTTAAGAATTTTAGCTTTAAAAAAATTGGGATTATTTTTTCAAATATTTTCTAATGTTTTACAGATATTTTGTTTTTTCTATAATATTTTTGTTTTTAAGTGCATTTATGTCTTGTGGAATATTTAAATGTTTTTTTTTTTTTCACCTTTTTTGGAATTCACTTTTATTTTCAAAATAAATTTTGATTGTTTTAGGATTTATTTGTGTTTACCTTAATGTACTTTGGCTAATGTCGACCATTTTCATGTTTTGATTTCATTTTTATCAAATATTTTCTCAATATTAAATATATTCTGAAATATTTGTGCCGTAGACTTTCAGGGCTATCGAGAAAAGTGAACTCACTTTTGAGCAGATTGAACGTTTGACATAGTCGCTTTTCTGACTTCAATAAAAACTAAAAATAAAAACTCCCCAGAATACAGATACCCCAAAACATTTACATTGAAATCCTTTTACTATATTTCAGTGATGTTACATATTTTAGTGGTGTCCTAACATTTCACCTAGTCCGGTTTTCTTTCCTCTTCATCTCATACAAGTCACTTTATAAGTGATAGTTTCTTCATCAGAATCTTCTAAAAGCTGACAGTCACTCATTACATGTCTTTTTCCTGTATCTAAGATTTTAATTAAACTGGGGTTGTCACTTTCTAGGCTCTGGGCTGATGTTTCTCGGATGTTGTTTGTTTATTTCTAAAATTATTACTTTTAGAAAACCACCACAAGAGCCTCTGTGTACCTGTGTTTTTAGCATATGTTAACATGGAGGCTATATTATTATATCTCATACAGGCCCAAGCAATGAACCAATGAATATTAGTCCAGATAATATTGTGACCATGTCAAGCCAAAACACTATTAGATGTAGTTTTTGTAAATGTTTGTCTTTGAAGACCAGCTCAGCTATTTCTAGGTTGGTCATGGATACAGACTGACAATGCAGGGATCTGGGAACAAACATCATATCTACTTCATTGGTACTAACACACCACATCCTTTTAACACTGTCAGAGCTTTCACATGCAAACACACATCACAGACTCGTCTGACCACAAACTCATTTTCTGTTGATTCTGGCGCCCCCCGTGGACAAAGTGAGACCTCTTATCATTTCTTCTGTACATATAAAGCTATTGTTTTCAGACAAACCTAATGTCTTTAATCAGGGAAATGTTTCACCCATGGAAATGAATAAAAAATAGCCGTTTCTTAAACCTGTGTTAAGTTATCTGATCCGATGCATACCCCCTCACAGCTGTTTCAAGCATTAAAAGATACAACAGAGCAATAGTCAGTCCTGTTGCTGATGGTCTTGTTTGCTTCTGAAGGTCCTACATCGGTTTCAGTCTCAGTCTGTTTTTTCATCCAGTTAAATCCTTACAGTGTCTTCAATAAAAAAAAAAAAAAAACGTTTAGTATACTGAGAAAATGTTAATATTTTGGCTATATAGCTGCTACAATGAACTTTTGAAACAGTTTGAGTGCCCCCTGTGGACAAAGTGATACCTCTTTTTTTTTGTCCCGAAGATGTCAATTTCTCATCCTGTTGTCTTTTAACTGTGAACTGCATCACTCACTGTGAGTATTGCAGTGGAATTAACAGAAGCTGGTTCTTCAACTTACTGTCTAGTAACTAGTAGGACACCTACCACCCCAGAGCTATTCCAGTCTTTAAAAGTTACAACTAAATGATGTTCTTTCTTGCTGCTGATGATCTTTTTTGCTGCTTAAAGTCATCCAGGGGGCATCACTTTCACTTCAGCAGATTTTTGAACTAGTAAAAAAAACACTGTCCCTTCAAACTTTGTAAACCTAAAGTAGTGGGATATGGATTTGTATGTGTGTTATTGGGTTTACTGTTCAAAAAGACAAAATATACACAGTATATACTCTTGAAGTGTTCCAAGCAAATGTGGCAGGATGGTCCATGGCGTGTGTCCATGGTCTACAGCTGAGTTCATATACGGCACTGCTAAACCAAAGACCTGTAACCTCAGTCCTCAGCCTCTGTGATTATAGTTCACTCAGAGCCACTACCCTGTCGTTTGTCCATATGAGGGCAGCTCTCCTTCCTCAAGTCAGCATCACAGTGTAGTTCAAATATGATGTTTGAGACCAGTGAAGATAAGAAACGGTCGGTGTTTATTTGTGTCCAAGGCAGAAAAGTAAGATTGAATCACAAGTGGTCACTGAAGCCTGTGGAGAAGTATGACAGGTGTGAACAAAACATTGCACTGCTAATACTGTTCAACAAAAAACAGACAAAGTTTGCAGTTTTCTCTGTTTTCTTCTTGTACATTATTGACCAACAGAGTTTCAATCATTCTGGAGGCCAGTATTATTAGTTATATATCCTCAGACTTAAAAAAAAATTAGCGTGAGTGTTTTCCAGTCGTGCTTTTGTATTAGCTTGGACTTCAGGGTTCAAGAAAGTAAGAAAAAGAGAAGTTTCTGCTGTCCTATAAGAGGGTAGAATATCACAGGGGAAACAGTAATGTTGAGTAAACTTTCGTTTCAGTGTCAAGAGTTCACTCATCATTCAGTTATATGTACACTGACCACACACTGTAACTGGAAACACACTTCTGTAGAAAGATGAATACTTATTAAAGTGATCACACAAGTCACAATGAAATCATGATTATAGTTATTCAGAAACATTTACAAAAGCCAGACTCTCTCAAATGTGCTGGAGACGGTGTAAAAAACAGGAAGATAAAAGATCACATTGCAGTCCGATATTACACTCTAAAAAGGAATGTGTACACAGTTGCTGGAGGTATTTGGTTCATCTCTCAGTTCCCAGACCACACCCTTTTAACACAGGCCTCTAGTGTGAGGGGACCATATCATCTATTACAGGTTCTCTGTTCAGGTAGGTCGCCCAGTACACAAGGTTGAAGCTGCCAAAGAGAACAGGAAATAAAACCCTCGACATCCTGTCGATTTTGCTGACACTGTTGAAGGTCTTCTTGCTGTCTTGGGCTTTGCCATCTGCTTTGGTCTTGTTAGAATCTGTAGCTCCACATTTGGCGATGGTTGGGAGGGTGCTGGGGTCCTTGGTGATATTAGGCGCATAGTTTGCCACTGCTACAGCATAGGCGTTATTCTTCTTGACCAGAGAAACTCTCTCTTTTTTCTGTCAAAAGACCAGAAGGGTTTTGATGTAAACAAACAGAAAAAACCCTGTCACTGGTACCAAGAGTAGACAGTACATGCAAATAATGAATAGAAGGGAAACACTTCACTTTTCATATAAAAACTCTTATTATGGATCAGTACTCTTAAAGACCCACTCCGGTGAAGATCATATTTTCTTGTCTACATGTTCATATAGTATTTTTCTGATACTTGAGGACATATGAGAAAAAGAAGAGCGAAATTGCATTTCTGAGTATTTCTGCATTCAAATCACTGTGAATCTCTGGCAGACCCAAAGGGCAGGTTCAGATACAGTGGGATGTCCTACGTAACCAATCCAATCTCCGCCCCCAGAGCCCTGCAGGCCAAGTTTGGGGAAATAGGGAGGACGATTGCAGAACAATAATGTTCGATAGCTGAATAGCTCCTATGTTACCAATGTTGGGCTGCAAGCTAACTTGTGGAGAAGTGCGCAGACAGCGCTGTCTCCGCCCACGACCCAGAGGCGAATTGCTAATGAGCTACCGGAGCTCCGCAGAAGAAAAGCCCTTGAAAACAACACAGGTAAAATGATTTTGGCTAAAAATTTCATAATTACAGTTAAAAGACCACTGATAACACTTTAAGTATTTAAAAATAATAATAATCGGAGTGGGACTTTAAGCATGTCAAACTAAAGGTCTCTGACATCTGCGGCACAGAGGGTTCAGGACAGTGGGAATGAGTTTAAGTCTGGTTTCTTTTGCGGAGGGTTATAGCAGCCACATCTGCAAGCCTGGCTTCCTCTAACAGACACTTAAAAGATATCAGGGGAACTTTTTGAAATCTGAGCTCTTAAGAAAGTTGTCTTTGTTCCACATTACCTTGTCAGTCACAATACTCTTCCCATCCCAAGCCCAGCCGCGCTTTGTGAAGTAATTGACAGTGGCGAACTCAATCAGAGCGGAGAAGACAAAGGCATAGCAGACAGCAATGAACCAGTCCATGGCGGTGGCGTAGGCAACCTTGGGAAGGGAGTTCCTTGCACTTATACTCAGTGTTGTCATTGTGAGAACGGTAGTTACACCTGGGGATATGCACACAAAAATAATAGGAAATAAAGGTGCATGCCTTTGAGAATTAATATATATATCCCGTTGATTACTGCTCATGCGACGTGTATCATTGTATGAGAGAGAAAGTAGAAGAGATTGTGATTAAAGAAAGGAGCCACTTACCAAACACAGTCCTCGCTGGCACTGATTCTCTATTCAGCCAGAAAGACACTTGGGAAAGAATGACTGTCATGATGCAGGGAAGGTAAGTCTGAATGACAAAATATCCAATCTTCCTCTTCAGATGGAAATGAGCTGTCATCACTGTGTATTCACCTGTTGAGACAATTTCAAAGGTGTCTTTACAGCACCACCACATAAACATTTGATATTTGACTTTTCTTATTTATGTTAATACAACTATAATGAGATCACATGCAGTCAGTAATCTCTGCTTTGATAGACATATAACTCTCATGTCATTCACAGCCACTTTGGTCAAAGAGAGTTATTTGCTTGCTGAGATTCATATTAGACAGTATGGCTCTGTTCTGAGAGCTCATTGCAGTCCTCCTGAAAAAGCCTGCAGCAGGGAGAGCATGGCTTCCCTTCTTTCGCTGTGCATGCATAATAAAAGCCAAGGCAGGGAGAGCATCAGCCAAGACCCCCTTACAGAGCACAGCGGGCAAGGGTGACTACATGGGAAACCGATACAGTCGACACAGCATTAGATGCTGCTGCGATAGAGGCAGGTAGCAAAGCAGTGTGTAAAGGAGGCAGCATATGTAGACAGACTAAAGCAGTTCAAATAGAACACTACACTTGGACTATATACACTTACATCTCTATATCTCTTTATATATTAAATCACATATATCAGATTCTAGCACAGAACAGACAGCCTACCTATGTAGTAGATTTTTGAACTCTAATAATCTGTACATATGAACAAACAGAAACTGGCTGATTTACTAGCACCAAGTAAAGCCTGATAGATAACCAGGCTTTGAAACGGTGACAGTCGCTGCAGTTGCAGACAAGCATTCAGAAGCATGACAGAAGCCAAGATTAGACATGGGAAAAACGTGTTACCCATGGCAACTGAACTGAGGAAAATGGCTCATTTGCTGCAGTCCAAATATGAAGGCCTTGATACTTGCCGCCACTTGGCAAAAGGGAAGTCCTTTGCAGCAGTGTTGGGGGAGGGGGGGGGGGGCAGGGTGAATTATTCCTTATTTTCTTAGTACGGGGTTGTGTTTTTTAAATATCTCACAATTATGCAAGAACTATTTCTTTTATTATTCACACAAACACATACATCCAGAAATACACCCAAACACACACGTACTCAAGCTCATATTTACAGAGCTTTATACCTCTGTTATCTGGTACACAAGCCCAGATAGCTCTGTCGTAGAGGGGGGAGGATGGCTGTATCTTATTTAGAGAAATTAGCATCTTCACTGAGAGAAGGGAGTATTACTGCAGTAAGATGTTCGTTGTTGCATGTTTCCTTAAGATGTAGGAAATGAGGATCCTGATGCTACTGGAACGCCTCAATTTACCCAGGACCATAGTCCATACAGTCAGTGTTCGGCATGCAGGGGTGTCTAGGAGTGACACAGGCAGCACTTTCAAATCAACTTATCAAGCTTTGTTGCTTCAAGCTGATGTTAGTCTTTGTAATATGACAATGAAGCACATTTTTTTCTGTTTATACTTTCTTCTCTGATACTGTTTGAGATTCATCGCCTTGAAGTGTCCATTTGGCTGCCCTATCCCTAAAAGCCTGGATCCATCTGATGCACATGTCAGTGCAGACGCATGATGCAAGTTCTGCAGATGGAGGCTTAATCACTGTGTAAACCTTCTAATGTGTGAGCCTGGAAAAATACTGACTTTCATATTCTGCCAAAACAACCAAAACTAAATAGAAGGAATTTGCTAACACAGCTGTGGCTCAGTAGTAGAGTAGGTTATCTCCCATTCAGAAATTTGGTGGTTTGACCTTAACCCCTGTATTCGTTTGACTGAAACTGGACTTTAAAGTACACATAAAGATGTTAGTCCAACTGGAACACACCAAGACAAATTTCTCATGTCAGACCACATTATACTGTTGCTCCTAAATGTCAACTAAGCAGCAACCTCCAGTCTTTGGAAATGAAGCAAATAAAACAATACAGAGGTGCTCAAAACTGCAAGTTCCCTGCAGCAGCACCAGAAACCACATACACACTAAGTTAAAATAAACATGTCTAATAACATTTCAGGTCTGAATGGTTCAGGGTTCCCACAGCGTGTACTTTACAAGGAGTGAAATCTGATAATGTGAAGAATGTGATGAATCAGAGGCCTGATATCCCATTATTTATGGAAAATTAAAAGAAGACTTTGTTTACAATTTTGACAAGTTAGTAATGCTTAAAAGAGAGACTTGGGAAAATTAGCGCAGTGAATTTACGCAGTGCAATCATTAACTCAAATGATGTTCCCTGTGGTTCTCAACTTTACTGTCTCATCTGATCAGGCACAGAGAGACTATGTACACACAGGTCAAAGTTTAGCCTCTGTTTTTCAGAGCAGATAATTTCTAGCAGGAGTCAATGCTCTTTCATTTAAATACACAATATCTAAAACAACTTGATTCAAATGCTGTCAAAATTGTTGCCATGGTATGATTTCACAAGTTTTTATGTGTTGTGACCGCATTTAAACAAGTACACAAAACAAGGGAGATTCATAGTCACGAGTACAGTATGTTTTTTCAGTTACATTACAAACATGGAGAGTGAATGTGAATGTGAGGCTGAATGGGAGGATTTTTGTATGTGTTGGTCTATTCAGAGCCTTATGCAAGATGTCTGTTCAGATGAAGCCTGGGAGCACATTCACTCGAGCCAAATGACCTAGTTTGCAAGTACGCCTCACCAAACACTTACACACTAGTACTGAATGATTAATCTTAAGTCAACCAATCAGATAATGGGGGGTGACTAGTTAAACAAGAAAAGAAGTCACTAGCAGGCATTTGCCATGTACCGAGGCACTGTACCCACACTTAACCTAGATAAGAGCATTGAGCTGATGAAAGGATGAAAGGATATTCTTCCTCAATGGCAGTGATAGCGGGGGTTTCTTAACAGTTGCGTGCTAGCACTGGAGAATACTCTATACTGGTGGTGGACACCTGAGGGGATTATTGGTGGAGCACTTGGCACCAGTGTGAAAACTGAAGCATGTGATTGAAAGCCAAAGAAAATCTAACTTGCCTGTTTTTGCACCACCTGTATTCATGCTCCTATGAGGAGTTTTTGGACATATGTTCAATAAACTGATATTTATACTGCTAGCTACAAGAGCTAACGTGATCATCAGCAACAAGGCTGATGATTTTTACAGTGTGATTTTTGCCTGAAACTGGTGTGGGAAGGTAGGTGTCTAACAAGTAGCCAAAGATAACAAACCTGTTTTCACGCTTTCCTCATAAAATATTTACAATAATGATCAAGATATGCAAAGACTGCTTTGTCTGCAGGAAGCGCCAAAGTAAATACAAATCAAAAGTTCCTGGCAGGAGCTTTAAGTTCAGGGATGATGCCTGTAACATTTTATTATTTGTGAATAAGAAATATATTTGTAAATGAGCACTGATGCATCTGTATGAGTTTCTAAAACAAATCATACAGTTGAGTCAATTCTAATGTTTAAAAGCCTGAAGAGCTTCAATAGAGTGATAAAGGGAAATAGGGGCTTCATGTCTCTGTTTGAGATTCCTTGAGTAGGGGCATTTGTGTGTGTCTCTGAAAGCTGAGGATCTCTGTTTAGTGTGTGAAGCATTTGATATTCAATCATCCTCCATTTTGAAGTTGACAGGCTTGTTATCAGTGCACAGCCCAAAAATCAGCAAGTGTGATCATATAGGAAAGCATGTGTCCATGGCAAGGGTAGCTCATCACACTTGCACAAGTAAAAGGAGAAAACCACCATGTTAACAGTAACACACCTGCCTCAGCTGTACCTGCCTCTCAAAGGGAGAAAGAGAAGATACTGAGTGATCCGCGTTACACCCAAAACACACCTTTGAACACGTCTTAATCCAGTCTCTTTGTGTCCTGCACCTGAGCTGCTGACCTGGCAAAATGTGATCGGACATTCCCCTCTTACATTTGGGTTGTGTGTCTGATATAATTTTCCTACAGATGGTGAAGAAACATACATTTTTAAGACACTGTTATTCTGACTGCATCCTCTCTTTTCTGATGATCTGGATGTATGAATGTATCGTTTCTTCATATTGATGGTGGATCAGGAGAGGGATTGCTAATGGGTGTTCCACATTGACTCTAAACAGTGCTCTACATCGACATATATCCTTGACAAGTTGTCTCACTTCGACCTGTCAGCTGTCCTTCACTGTAGCTTCCTCTACTTCCATCAGTGCAGCGCTCTGGAGACACACTAGAGGTAAAGTATGCGCGAACAAGCAGGTGTCCAGAGTTTTTAGACTGGGTGGTACAACCTCAACATTGACAAAGCACGTATGTGAGCCCACACACCAAGAACTAATGCTTGTTATTGCATATGTGATGTAACCCCAGCGATATACTTAATTTGGACATTAGACATTTCTATGACAAGCCTCACATTTTTTTTAATATCATTTGATTTTTAAGGGGTCCTGCCCCTGACAAGTAGGCCAACTCGAGTAACAAAAACACTAGAACATTAAAAGTAATGAAACTCAATTAAAACTTAACGTTAAATTTCAGATAATAAAAACTACGATAAAAAACCAGCCTTAAAGACTAAACAAAAATAAACTGAAATTTAACATAAAATTCCAAAATAAAACTAAAATTAAAAAAAATGGAAAACTTAAAAACCGTTATAACCTTTTCGCGTACTTGTGCAATGTAAGCTGGTTGCAGTAGTCCTTGATCTTTCTTAAAAAGTTTAAATATTGGCCAATGATCAACAATATTAATATTTATTTGTGTAATATTTAGAAAACACTGGTCTGATACTGAATTTGGGACTTGCTTGGGTGATGTTTTCTGATTGATACTACTGAGAAGTGAGCTGTAGTAATCCAGCCTTGAGAAGATGAATGCATGGATTATGTTTCTGAAAGTCAGATTAAGAGGAAAATAGTTTTTATTTGGGTGAGGATTTGTACTAAGATATAGCTTTCATCAAACTTGCTGGAGTTCTGTGGATCTAGCTGCTTCAAATTGTTGAGTTGAAGAAAATCTATATTCCTGTCATTTTCTGAAGACCTCAAGTCTTGAGATCCACGGTTAATGGCTGACCAGTCACCAGAAGTGAAACAAAGACAATTAAAACAGCCTGGTAACTGGTTAGGGTTGTCAAAACACATAAAAGGGAGACATCCACCAAACTTAGGAAACTGAACATGATGCAACCTTGAAACCACAGCACAGTGAGGAGAAACATATGCCAACAGAGAAGTTACAGGAAAAAGGACCTTTTATGGATGCTGCTATTAACTTTCTTAGTCTGTAAAAAACAAACGCTGACAGAAAAAAACTGAAAGAAACAAACTGAAAAAAAAAATTAAGGTCTTTCCATCAATGCTTACTGTTTGTTTGAATTTTTAGTTTGAAGCTAGTTGAGTAATAGCAGGGTAATGAATCGTGAATGTGTAGGTATGCATCAAGGTTTTGTCTTCAAAGGAATTATTTTACCCAGAATTACTTGCTCACTATCCAAGGATGTCCACTCATGTTTGTCTGTCAGTGGTTTACCAGCTTTACCAGAGAGGTTAGAAACCATCAGAGTGTGTATTTGTCATTTCTTTATTAACTCTCTTTACCTGTGCTTGATTTGATGGTTTCTTGCCCGACTGTTTGTCCGAGCAGATCATACTGGTTCAGGCGGGAGCTTTCCCCTTCCACAACCACAGAGTCAGAGGCATTTAGAGTCCAAGCATAAGTCACTTCAGAGATCGTGTAGGCATCTAAAAAACACAAAGAAAAATACATTTATAGGAGATAAATCTTGGACAGTCACTGACAGTTTTTCAGTGACCTAAGTAAGAAGACCATGCAGTGCAACAAGTCTAATGCTTGGTTTCCTGAGAGAGTAAACTACAAGGAGAATTTCTCAGGGGAAGTCTTGCATAAACAATGTCAAGATGGTTTTGATGCTTGGTGAGAAATACCCTTTAATCCTAGCCATACATCTGTTAATTTGGTCATTCAAAGACTTGCATATCAAATGTGGTAATCAAGACAAATCACTGCAGAAGGTGATAGACTGCGAATGCATTCAAGACATGACCTAAAACGAATGGAGTTAATCTCCAACTATCTTTAGGGTTTTTTAAGACAAATTTTCTTATAAAGCAAACTTTAAAAGAATAAAAACCTCTATGTAATAACCAATAGCAGTGAAACATGTCAATTTTTTTTCAACATTGGTTCATTAGAATGACTCACAGCTGCCAAATTTTAGTGGGCAGGAATGGAAGTCCATGGGGAAATCCTCCAGATGCATGGGACATTCTGCATGCACAGTTAACCTGCATTTAATTCACAAAGAAAGTAAAGATAGTCTGCAAACATATGAAAGTAAATAACCAACTTTCAAAAAAACACACACACTTTCAAAAGATGTTTCCTAATCTATAACTTTAGAAAAATGTATGGAGATCAGACACAAATCAAAAGAAAACAGTGTGTCTGTTGTTGAAGAACCTTTAAACCTTGTTTTTATCCAAAGTCAGCCTTATTAGACTCATAAGATCTGATGAGCCACTTCAAATAGACAATTGGGGTCTTATAGGTTTATGTGTCAAAGTATTACCCCTATTAGCCTAGTGCACTGACATGATAGTGCTATCAGCCTTCTCGCACCTTCAGCAGCAAAGCCAACTAGTGTCTAACCAACAGCGACAGGTTATGTCTTGAAGTCCAGACCAGCACATGTAGCACATATTTCAGTAATTTTTCTGCATGTTTCTGAGAACTTACCTCATGGTGTAAAGCAGAGTCCCGTCATCTTTGATCCTCAACAGTTTATTTGGCATAGTCATGTTATGAGCCACAGACTTTTTTCCGTTGTGGAAGAAGGTATCTGGAGTCCAGATTTTACTTGCCATCAGATTGTTGAGGGGCAAAATATTCATGGGACCACGAAACTTCAACCTCTCATCCTTCCATGTTTGCCGGAAAAAGACATCTATGGTGTACTCCTTCGGGTAAAGAGGAGAGAGGTGTGAGTTCAACATTTGATTGTTTTTGTTAAGACCAAACATAATTTGAACACTAGTACTATGCCTGGTTTTAGAAATGAAATTAAACAAAAATGAATGTCCCTGCTCTTCTTATCTGCATCAACAAGCAGCAGTTCTTCATGCTGGACTTCACCTGTTGATGTAAGACCATCACAGACAAAAAATGTGATTCTAGAGGTATGCTTTTGAGTAAAACTGGACTTATTTTAATCCCTACTGCAAAGAAACACACCAGGTCGAGGTCTCTGTTCGTTAAACGTTTTAACTAGCAGTCATCAGGAACGGCATCATATATAGTGGTATACACAACATGGTGGTGATTGAACTTGGTGCTGTGAATAATTCATGATTATTCAGGCCTCCATGTAATTGATGATATGTCATTAGTTGTAATTAGTCTCAGGCCACACAACTGTTGAATCTTTAAGTCAGTGTGAATGAATGACCAAGTACAACAAATACATGTTCAGTTTCTGCTCTCACCATGTCAGTATCTGAAACTGGTCCAAAGCTGGTGACATAGATGTTTGTCTTCACCTCTGTAATCCTGTCTGAATGAGAGACAATGAGACCGTGAAACAAACATCCAAGTTTAAAAAATAAAACTCGTACAACTGAGTGGACATTTAGCTGTACCAAAGGAACTGTTTGGTTTCGGTAAAGCTGTGGATTGTTGGCTCTGTTTTGTGCTTTGCATGTAAAGTATGAAGTATAATGTGCAAATGTTAGTTAAGATATTGAGCCTTTAAAATCTAATACAAATTTCCACACTGGTGTAAGAGAAACACACTAAGAGCCAGGCCTACTTCCCCTTCGAGTGATGCTCTTCTGCATCAGTGCCACTGCATCAGGTTCATTTGGTTTCCCTCCACCCTGCCTCCTTTACTTATTACTTCAGCTCCATCTCTCATGCCTGGTGAATTAAACCTCTCGTGTTTTACTATAAATGCTATACTAGCAATCAAACAACATTTTCACATACAAGAAGACTGTTCCTGAAAATTCAGTCAATTACGCTCTTCTCACATAAAATACTCAAACAAAGATGAGGATCCTTTGAAAACAAGGAATTTTATGAAATCACCACCAGAGTTGTGACTAATGCAATACTAAATAACAGGTTACTGTAATTTAATAACTATTCATGATGATCATTCAGGTGTGCACCATCACTCTACGTAACGGCATTAATTTTTTCTCCTTGAGGTAAAGAACAAGGATACTGATTTTACTGACTGCAAAGACTTCTAATCTCACAAAGCAGCCAACCAAACAATACGCTTGAGCTAACTATCAGAGAGCGACCACAAAACCAAGCGAGGTCAGAGCGTTTCCTGGGTTTTCTACCAGCCCTTCATCTTCCCTACATACCCTGTATACCCTCACTCAGATAGGTCAGACTTTTTAGGGGTCAGGTTGAGGGAAGCACATTTGAAAGCCCCAGTAATGCTCTGTGTAGCACCATGAACCCCTCTCTTCAGTCTTTGGGAAAGATGGTCACATGTCAATCTTTATGACTAAATAACTGAATACAGACGAGACAAAAGCAAGCGCTCCTGTGGACTAACCACAGTGGCATGTCAGCCTCTCGGAGGTCTAGATCAATAATCACCTCAGCTTCTTATCAATGCTGGTCCATGCATATCAACCAGACAGCAAAGCGTTTTCTCTTCAACAAACTTAGAACATCAACAAATCACATCATGACCTGCCTTGTAACCAATCATCACTCCTCATGTAAGTGAGTATCTCGAAGCAGAATTAAAGACACTGTATTTTTATTATACACTGTATTAGGGCTAAACGATTTAGGGAAAATATCTAACTGTGATTTTTCTGACTGATATTGTGACTAAGATTTGATGTGCGATTTAATTTTGTTAAGTCAAGTCTCAGTTCAAGGCTGTCCTTTTTTCATTAACTACGAAAAGATCAAACTGCTATGATTGGACTGGATTCAAAACTGGAGCACCACAGACAACGATACACACCACAGCACAGTCGATCACAAATCTGTTGTTGCGGCGTAATACTCCACATTTTTAAGTCTGTCTTAACTTTCTTCCTGCATTCATCATTTTGAATATTTTGTTGTTTATTTAGAGCGTCTTAACACCACATCAAATAAAATCCATCCCTCTCTCCTCTCAAACTGTCTCTACAACCTGCAGCCTGTCAGTCTGTCACCAGGGCAACACTATTGTGTGTGTCACTGAGGAACATGTGATGTCCTTCCTGTTATGTTGTTGTCATTAGCATTGCTGTGTTTCATACTGTAGTATTTCCCTGTTGCTAATCAGCACTTTACAAATATTGGTTTCATACTAAGACTTACTATTACTGACTCACTGACTCCACTCTGTCACTGAACGAGCCGCCACTTGCTTCAACACCGCTCCCTCTTGTCACAGCCCTGGGTCAGCCGCATTACATCATGTATGTTCCATAACACAGCCTTTGCAATTAGCTAATTGCAATGTTTCAAATTGCAATTTCAATTTAAATTCAATTAATCGTTCAGCCCTACACTGTATGCTGCTTTTCACTCTAAGCGCGGATCCTTATTTTGAGAGAGGAGTAAAGGTTAAACTGTTGTTGTTATTCAGACTGTTATTTGTTAGGGTGCTTTTGAGGAAGTAAGTCCTGTCCATGTGCATGATCAAGTTTCTCCACAGGTCTGATGCACCTGCAAAAAACACAGCTTTGGAGTATGATAAGGGATCCAAAATTGTGATTAATTACAGAACAAATGAAATGCCAAAAAACGCTCAGACCTGTTAGGATTACAGTTTAGTCCACAATTTCTATGTCACAAGACCAATTAATCATTCTGTGATATAATAACCATCAAGTCACTGTAACCATCTGTTCAATGTGAAGAAAGAAACAAAGGGAGAGAAGCAAGGCTTAAGCCAGATTGTGTGTAGTCACTCATTTTTTTAATGTCACTTCAAACCTTCCGGTGGCCACAGAACAACATTGGCCTTATTACTTGTGTTGTATGATAGACAATGAAAGTCCTGGAAATATAAACTTAAATATATAAGAAAAGAAAATTGAACCAACACTATTTTTAGATTTTTAAAATTATTTTTTGACTCAACTCCTAAAAGCCAAATTAAAAATCTACTGAAATAGTTATTTCTATTTATTTGGTTATTCTTTCTTTAACTTGTGTTTGTATTATGCTTGCATGATGCACCATAAACCATAGTTGGCCATTTTATTTTTCCTTTCCACTTCACATGCTTCGGTGTAACAGGCCAGACATATACAGCGCATGTTTTTCTTATATGCACAGCAAGAACAGTGCGTCCAGTTGTACGGGCTCAGTGCTTCCAAGCTAAAAGAGGGTTGTCCTCCATATGGCAGCTCCTGAGCTGATGGCCCCAGGAATTTGAATTTCAAATGGCAAAGAATCCTGAGGGAGGAGCTCAGTTTAGGGGTTAAGGGCCAGCTGGAAGTGAGATGACAAGCATAGAGGATCGTGGCAGAGGTTAGAATAAAAATGGAAGCTCTATAGCACACCGTGGCCAAAGGGAAGGTGGTGCATTTCTATAAATATTTTTTCAAAGAGTCTGATGGAGAACAAAAAAAAATGCCTTGGCATCACCTGTTTCCCTCACATTATTGAAACTATCTCAGTTGAAGATACTTGTCTTTTTGAACACGACCATGCTCACCAAACAACCATCAATATCGAGGTGTGGGACTTTAAACATTCCCTTTTCAACAACAGCAGCAGAGGAGATGATGACTATGATCGCTTTCCTTAAAATTACTCAGCATTTAAACAAAGGATGGGCTGATCTTTTCTGAAACCATTTTTAAGTAGACCCGGTTGAGTCTGAAATAAGCCCTGAAACTGTTCCTTTTTGTGAAGATGCAGTTTTTAGGTTCAAAGTTGATGCTACTGTCGAGGCAAGATCCCTTTCTTATGTTTTTGGATCTTTTTTTTTTTTTATTCTTTGATAAAATCAAACACTAAACACAGACAGCAATCTAAAATATACTGAACAGTCACTAATGAGGGAAATGGAAGTGACGTGATAACTTTAGTAACCCAGCAGCGGTGAGAAATGCTGTTGTAGATGAGGAAGCCATCAGTACAAAGAACATCGTTTGTGGACAAAGGCTGTTATAGAGCGCCGCTGTACAGGTGAAGCATTAAAAATATCACTTTAACTGAAACATGCTTTTTAGACATTAGGACTTTACAAGAGGCAGAGGAAGGTAAACAACATAATGTCCTACTCATGACTGTATCTGCAGCTACACATAACTTAGTTTTCCCTTTGGAGCTCCAGCTGACATCTCCATTCACAGAGTGCAAACTGTAGTTACTTGAAGAAATCTGAACTATCCCTGTAGAAGACAAAAAACTGTATATCAAGTGATGACAGATGACCTCCTTACCCCCAAGACCTGGCCGCAGTCGGTTGTCATATCCATCCAGCAGGCTGTCCAGTATCCGTGTGAACAAGGTGATGTTTGTTTTAAAGGCTTCAGATGTGGCGTTCACTGACCTGGTAAACAGACACACAATGGTACATTTTATGTACCTCAAGGATACAGTCATGGCTACATGGGTTTAATTTTTAGTTAGTTTAAAAGTTGTTTGTGAATATACAACTGTAACTGCACCTAAAGTAGCTGCAATAACAACATCTTAATAGATCATGTAGGAGTGATTTCAGTGAAGGCCAGTTGGCTGTGTCCTGCCCTGCTGGGTCCTGAGGTTTAACTCTCTCTGTTGGCCTCTTCCCCTCATGATAGATCCCCCTTTCACGTGTCTATGAAGCCATTAAAGTCATATTCATGTCGAACTTGTTAAAGACTTTTGTATTACCGAAACATTCTGTGTGTAGTCCTAGAAAATTGGTAACAATAGAAATATTTCCTCCATCTAAAGTCTGAGAAGCTGACACACAAGTTTCCTGCACGCACAAAAACAAAGTATTTTGTGTCTTTACTCATCAGCCAACCAGCCAATCAGCACTTTGATATGTACAGTGGATGACAAGGGTCAACAGTCTCAAGAATCTTCATTAGCAGAAACACAACACACTATAAATGCAGATATGACACAAATCAAAAACATGCGAAAGTTCAAAACAAAAAAACACAGTAGAAACAAGCTGCAATTAAAAAAAGTGCTGCAAAAAGACATCAAAGTTGCACAAACAGTGGGAAAGCTACAAATACAGAAATGAAACAAATCAAAAAACACACCAATGCAGAAAAAAGCTGAAAAGAAAGATAAAAGCAGCAAATAAGTGAGACTTTTTCACAAAAAGTGCTCCTCGCCTGTAGGGGTGCTAGTTGACACAGCTTTATTATTGATAGGACAGTGAAGACGAGTGCAAATTAAACATGTTTAGACGATAAAGCAGTAGCGTTTTTATATTTGGGAGTAAATTTAAACACACAGCAGGTACGAGATTCAGAACTGGACACATGGGGAATAGTAAAGGTGGGATGTCAGGAGTAGTATACCCCTCACCCTGTAGACCTGCGCAGGGGCTCTGTGTGGTTGTTTCAAGATGTCTGGAACTATGGCTAGCAGCTCACAGGGCTCTGCTGCCAACATGCTGGTGTTTTCTAAGCCTGACACCAGGCAGCTTTATGTACCTGTGTGGCCTGCTGGAGTCTGTAGCACAGACCGTTTTCAGGGCTTGACTCTAGTTATCCCTGGGATGCTGTTTGATAAACACTCAGTTCTTAGGTAATAGTTAGAAAAGTGAGCTGAACAGCCTCTTGTTGGGCTCACTCATCCTCTGTGCCTCCTCCGTCCCAAGAGTGCAGAAAAGACTCACTGTAAATAAGTGTCTGCAGGTGCAGCACGTTTCTCCTAATGCAGAACGTTCGGGCCGCTGCAGATTGTTGTCCCCTGTTGGCCACCATAGTTAGTTATGTTGCTGTATGACCTTAGTGATCTGGATCTGACATCACGGTTATATAACATGTTAGGCACTGGTGTTGTCAACAAGTTAGCTACATAATACTAACAGACAACCTATAAGCCAACATTAACCACAGCATGATCACAGTAACTGCTTAATCTTGCACACAAGAGTTTGGTAAAAATTTATTCAGGGCAGCTGACTGTCTAGCCTTTAGTGTTGTACTCTTGAGCTTTTTGGGCCCTTTATTGGTCAGATAGTAAAGTGGATGGCTCAGGAAACACAGAGAGAGGGCAGAGAGTAACGTGTAGAAGAGGAGCCACAGGCTGTGTTTTTTAGGGCATGCTCAGACTGCTCCACAAACGCCAACTACATTCACAGTCTTGCCTATCGCAACTGTGCCTGACAAGTGATCAGATTGACAGCAGCTGACCTGAAGTGATATTCACTGGATTGAACAATAATTTTCAAAAGTACAATTTGTGAGTGATGTAAATTATAGGCTAAATATTAAAAATGAGTAACACCCACTAAGTGTAACATCAGGCTGATTTTCACATTAAATAAGTGATCTATACCTTAAAGTGTTACTAAATAATGATAAGAAGATAATAATCAACTGATATGAAAAACTTAATTGTGATAACGTCTTCTACCATATCACCCACCCTTACCTTCCTTATTGTTACTCATACATACAGTAGGTTTGTGAGTCGAGTTTAATAGGTCTACTCTGGAGTGTCTTTAGTCTATGTCAGTTCAGCTATTACAGACCCATTCTGATGAAAATCATGTTTTTCTTGTTGTCTACATTTCATATGGCATTTTTTTTCTGATGCTAGAGGACATATTGTTAGAAAACTAAGAGCAAAGCTGCATTTCTGAGCATTTCCTCATTCAAATAGCTGTGAATCTCTGGCAGACCAAACAGCAGGTTCAGATACAGTGAGATTTTTTGCGCCACACATCAAAGCCCCGCCCCCTGAGTCCCGCTCTGTAGGTGTGTGTTAGCGAATCGCAATGCACGTAAGAGAGCTAGTTATGATGCTAACTTTCATCATGTCCCCAAAGACATTAGTGTTCATGAGCTGAATAACTCCGATGTTACCTGCTACTTCAGCTGCACCTGCAATGTTAGGTTACAAGCTAGCTTGTAGAGGAGGGTGCAGAGCAGTGCTGTCTCCACCCACGACTCAAAGGCAAATTGCTAATGAGCTACTGGAGCTCTGCAGAAGGAAAGCCCTTGAAAATGACACAGGTAAAGCAATTTTGGCTAAAAACTTCATAATCACAATTTAAAGACCACTGAAAACACTTGAAATAAAATTTTAAAGAACAATCGGTGTGGGACTTCAAAGCAATCAGTGTTTACAAGAGATCAGTGATTGCAGGGATGTTAAGAGCACGTATTCATAACAAACTGTTTCTGCACAGGATATTAGGTATGGTGGGCATGGATACTGAACAAAATACATGAAAAATGGCTAGTACATGAAATCTTAGTTTCCACACAGCCAGAAGACAGAAGCTGACCACACACAGAACACAATCTCCCTGTCATGACAGCCATCACAACACACAACGAGCAAGGACAAGATGATTTCCCACTGGCAATACAATCCTCTGTTTGGAATATAATGATGGTTAAAGACAAGCGGTTAAGACTTTTCCGCAGCAGTCAGATATGTTGCTGCCAACATGTCCAGCTTGTTAACACATATTGAGCTGCACCACACAAGAGTAAACATCACTTCTGTGAAGGAAAAAGATCTCATTGTTCAAACTCAGCTGCCTCTGGCATTTAAACAACCTTCACCTGCTAATTCAGAGCGAAAGCAATAAGAACCGCTGGTGGCACTTTTGTGGCAGTGAAGTTGCGACTGTATTCAGTTGCTCAGAACACAAACTTGAGACACATGTTAAAGGTGGGTTAAGCAGGATCTGAGGAGGTGCCAATTTATGGGAGAAATCTTGAATGTAAACACTACACCTCCCAACCAGTTTTCCCCTCAGCTCCTCCTCCCCCTCCCCTCTCTGCTCCAGCAAGCCCCGCCCACAAACAGACACTCATTTGTATCGTTTCAATTAAATTCAGATATAACGCAGATAAATACTTGAGATAATTACAAATGGGGCCCAGTCAACGTGAAAGTAAACAGCATTGGTGCTACTGTAGATGCCAACAGACTACCAACAAACACAATGTTTGCAGGACCCGAGGTAAACAGTTTAGCGGCACTGAAACACACAGCAGGTCCTTTTGACAAGAAACACTTCTGTCACAGACACTCGGCTTACTTTAAGCAGTTTACCTGTCCAGCAGAGAGGTTACAGGGTCTGTAAGACCCCGAAGTGTCTCCCATCATTTATGCTTCATTGATGTTGAACCGGCTTTTTAGCTCTTGTTCAGTCTACTTCCTTCTTAAACGCCCATTCTTCCACCAGAATCACCGGTATTTACTTTGTTTTCTTGCTTGTGTCGGCGGTCGTGGCCAAAGGAAGATTTAGACAATTTTCTGTACTTTCTGGTTGGTTTCTACTGTCTGACATTGTAGCACTATAACATTGTTTGGACTCGTGCATGACATTAGAGGACGTGGAGTGTGCCTCACAACACGAGTGAGCAGCGTCTGCCTCACAACCAATCAGCACTAAGGAACAGCATCGGCCTCACAACCAATCAGGTTGGGGAGTTGGAGAATGGCTTTGTTTACACTCAGAAAGAGCAGCCCGCTCAAAAATTTTAAAATGTTGACTACACAGACATTACAAAACACAGCGAAATCGTTATATTACCAAATGTCATCAATAACTAATAGCTATTGACTGATATTAAAAGATTTTTGTATATACTCTACAAAAAAGATGCTTCTTTGATGGAATCCTGCCTACCCCACCTTTAAAGGTGAAAGAGCCCCAAATATAAATGAAGTCAAAGCAGCTCTCAATAACTAAATCAAAGTTGCTGTCGTGCACAACTTGTCAGAGGTATCTGCTGTTGCTCTGATGATGAACGGATGTCAAGAGCTACTGATAGCTACAGTGACATTATCTTATTTTCATGTTTTATCTTAAATGTTTCTTATGCAACCTGAGCTGGCCTGCAAGGATAAACCATTGCTGCTGCATTTTAGATAGTCTAAAAGGAAAGCTCTATGAATTCTCGACAAAAGACAAGATTTTTGTGCTGCACATGTTCCCCTTTCTGTACCAAAGATGAACTTATCTGTAGCCCAGGTACATGCCGTACTGAGATTGTATACAGCTACAACCCTAGTATTTTCATCAAACCAGTTTTAATTCGAACACTAAACAAGTGACTGAGTGAAAACATCAGATTATATTCAGTAAAAATGTCATTAATTCACAGTTATTATTAAAAGCATAATTTTCCCATTTCAAACCTTTCTTTTGAGGAAATTATGCCTGAGTGATGCATTTAAGGAGCACATTTTTATTTTGACATAAATTATATGATTTTTTTTTCACTGTGATGGTGCTTGACTCTTGCATGCATACAGTTCACTTGATTTTATGCCAAAGTGTTGTATTATTCTATAATTTCTTTGAAGGACACTTTAAAAAAGAAGTTTTGTCATCTAATCTCACAAAACCTGATTTTGATTTGTGTTTACTTTAAGAAAGAACAACGATTCACCTTGAACAAAACTGTAATTAGGCTACGGCTATTAGTCTGTCAGAAACTAGGAGATCTAATATCAATGCTCCTGTGAGGAGTTTTGATGTTTATGATATAGACTGAAATTCATATTAATGCCTTTTAATGAAATCCAAAAGCAAATAAGTCCACTTGTGTGAGGGGGTAGGTGTCAACGCTGCAGTTGCATGATAACCCTGTTTTTACAACATTTATGTAAAATCATAAAGATAAATTTAGCAGAATGAGATGTTTTTGTCTCAACACAGGATCTGCAGGTAGGGGATAAGATATGTGAAGACTGCTTTGCTCAGCGGAGGATCAACATTGACACAAAAAGAGAAGTTCCTCACTGGAGCTTTAATGTCTTCCTTATTGTTCTTACAAATGGAATAATAGCAGCCTATAATTTTTTTGGTCTATACCTTAAGAGTTGAAATTTGACTCCAATATTCCTTACCCTTGATACATGGGAACATCATTTTGTACAAAGAGCGAGTGTGGCTCGACCTGCCTACTGTGAACATAAGGCGTCTCTCATTGAGAAAGACTCACCTGGTTTTCCAGAGAACAGCGTGCGCCAGCAGGCAGATGAGAAATGGAGAAGCGGTCTGTCTGCTCCACATATCTGCATCAACGCCTACACGCAGGAGGAAAGCCGCTGAAATGAATGGAGGCTCCGTTTAACCAGCTTGAAATGCCAGTGGACCTTTACAGCCATTAAATCCATCAGCTAGGCTATTTCCATCTGACACGAAATTAAAATAAAAAAAAAAGAAGAAGAAAAAACTGGGGAGAAGAGGCAGCAGGGACAGCCCTGGACGAAAACGTTCCCACATAATGAACCCCAGTTTTTACAATACCCTTCAATGGGAACGTGTCGGTTTATTTGGTTTATTCAATGCTTATAGGCTAATTGACGAAGACGTCCTCTAAAACTGAAGAAATCCCCTTCAAATTTGAGAAAATGTGGAGGAGACATTCATCTCCTCTCCCACGCTTCCTAGCGCCTCCACGGATGATGAATTTGCTCAACAGGATTTTTTTTTCCTGTGGTAGAGAAAATACAAGAGACTTACCTTACATGCAGAAAGCACCTGCTGCAGCCACAACTGCCGAGGATGAGAGAAAGTTGGAGTAAAAACACCGGTCTATCCTGCGTTTAGGAGACTGAATGAGTGCAAGTCTGTCGTGAGAACAAAGCAGATAAATCATATTCATATCCAACAGCAGACCTGTACCCAAAACGCATTGGCCTCCAGAGTGTACCCCCCAAAACAAATTATTATATAAATATGTGTTACAACGACATATGAATGCAATAAAAGTCAAAAAGAAAAAATAAAGGAAAAAGAAAAACACGCAGTCATCGGTGCTGATTCTGTAATCACACGACCACGATCACAGCCCCCTCTGCTTATAACGCTAGATGTGAATCGTGATAAGCATGAAGCACATCTCTGTCTCCATGAGACTCCCATCTCCACACAAAAGCTCCAAAGGCTGAAGAAATGACACTCTGGGTCCTAAAGACAGTGTTGTATGCTCAGGGACCTCCTTCCTGTAGGCCAAGTGCTGGTATGCAAAAGTGTTGATGTTGCTGTGAACACAAACGTTGTCAGATCATGACAAAAATCACGCTCAGTGGTTTTGCTCGTGGTTTGGTTTGCGGGTTTGACTTTGGTTTACAAGTTTGTAATCATTTCATACATATTCAATGCTAACTAGGACGGGCTTCAATGATTTTCCCTTTATTTTGACAGATTGGTGAGATGAAAAGAAAATATTCTGCAGTCTCTGGACTGGACCACTGATCAACAGTCCAGTACTTTTTCTTTTTAACCAAAGTGAGACTATTATGATGTTATTGTCTCTGCTTCAGGGGAGCATTGACAGTACCATGCCACTTGTGTTCACATTCTCTACTTAAGTAAGCTATGGAAGCCCTAAGCAGACATGGTTTGTTTATTTTTTTTTTTTTACCCCGTTTTCTCAAAATCATGAGATAGTGTTCTCGTGATCTCGAGAAAATAAGGCTTCATTTTTTCAAGATCACAAACTAATTTCGCAGTGGACTAGAAACATTTTGCTGATCACTGCACGTGGTGCGGTGCGGTCTGCCTTTCGCTACCTGATCTAACCTGGAAACACGATTTGTGCTGCGAAAGTGCCAAATGTACATCACTTCCTGTACTAGCCATCTTTGCGACAGCTCAGCAATTCTTTGCCCCTAGTGGTTTGTGACAGCTTCGACACTTCAGTCAGAATGGATGCCTTAGTTTGTCACCAGCTTTTCTCCTGAACGGCGTGCCTCTCCTGACTAAAGCATGGCACCGTAAAGTCAAGAGAATGACACCCAGTTTCACAACTTAAGGTTTTTATGATGAGCTTAATTGTAAAATTGCAACGTGGTTATAAAAAGCTTGAATGAATGTGAATATTTCAACATTGAAACCAAAACACTGTATAAAAACACTGAAATTCATTGTCCATAATGCGTAGGTTTCTTGTTGATTAATTCATATTTATAAAATAAATTAAATAAATCCCCCCTTGATACTTTGAAAAGTAAGAGAGCCGTGATTTTGACCAGATACCACATACAGTGATCAGCCCAATGTTTCTAGTCCACCGCAAAATTAATTTGTGATCTCAAGAAAAGGAAGCCTTGTTTTCTCGAGATAACGAGAAAACTATCTTGTGATCTCGGGAAAATGGGGCTAAAAAAATAAATAAAGCATGTCTGCTCAGGGCTTCCGTAATTAGCAGCCTTAAGTAGAAAAAAGACCTGCTCATGGAGTCTTGCAGAGAAATACTGTTTTTGTCGTACCATGAGGGTTAAATAGCGAACATCTTTCTTGGGGACTTAACAACAAAAAAAATAAAATAAACTTTAATTTATACAGTACCTTTAAAGAGACCCAGCTGGTACATCTGATGATTGAAGCTTAAGTCACAGAGTCCTCTGTGTGACGTCTAAATCTTTTTTTTTTTTTTCATTTTCAATATCATATTAAGGACATTTTCTGCCTTTATTTTAGGGGTCAGGGCTGTGCACAGAGAAGGAAATGGGGAGAGAGAAAGTGACGCGCAGAAAAGGAATCCATCCATTCCTTTTCTAACACTTATTCCCATTGGGGGTCGCAGGGGGTGCTGGAGTCTATCCCAGCATTTTCAGGCAAAGGCAGGGGACACCCTGGATAAGTCACCAGTTCATCACAGGGCGAACAACCATCCACGCTCACATTCACACCTACAGGCGATTTGAAAGGGGCCCATTAACCTAACTCCACTTCTGCATGTTTTTGGGATGTGGGAGGAAACCAGAGTACCCAGACTACACCCACACAGACACAGGGAGAACATGCAAACTCCACACAGAAACGCCCTGACCCGGATTCAAACCAGGACCTTCTTGCTGTGAGGCAACAGTGCTAACCACTGTGCTGCTGGGTTTTTATCATAAAACTCAAAACTACAAATAAAGTGTGAAAGTAACTGCATCTATAGGAGCCTCCATACCCCTCCCAGGTGAAAGGACACACAAACACACACTTTTGGAAACAGTCACCTTGATATCAGGGCCTTCATATTGTCCTAGTGAGTCCTGCTTGTGACAATCACCTGTGAGGAATAATGGATGAGGCAGGTGATCTCCAAACAGGTGGGTCTGGTTTCGGCAGCGAGTCAAATTAATCATATTGTGCACGCATGTCTGTGCACCATTGTTTTTGCTCAGTTTTTTCATGAAACTAAAATAACTGAATGAACTGTTTTTGCCCACAATGTGGAAAACAGCCAAAGGTTCACAGTAAAATCACACAATGATCCGACTCACAAACAAGACAACGTACAAAACAAGACAGTAGAAGAGCACTTGGCCTCACTCCAGTCCATATAATCCATAAACGGTGAGAACAATATTTAAAAGCCCTGATTTTACTGTAAAAAAACATTTATTTTGTGAGAAATAGGAGCAAAAAGCAATAGAGCACAGGGTCTCTGGTATCTTCACTTTATAGTGACAATGCCACTTAATTAAGTAAATTAAGAAATTACATTTAAGAATTTAATAACTTTAATGCTCTCACGATTAAAGATCTTTTTATGTACACTTTTGACCTGATGGGAACAATTCAAACTAAGAATACAATGGATTGGAGTGGTCACCTCAAGGGCTTTCCCCCCCCTAAATGTCCGGTACATACCTGTGTGTTTTACCTGTGAGTTCACTGGCTGTATTGACCATCCTTTGAATTTACCTTTACCTCTCACATCAAGGTGTCTGTACCATGCTATAATGTTGGAAGACAAAACACTTGGTCAGATTCTTGTAAACCGTTTCAAGAATCTTTTGACTTTCCCCCAAAATCACTTCACTTCCTGAGCAGGTGTAGCCACTGCAAGCTGTTTTAAAAATGCAATCATCTGTGAATGTGAGATTACTCTCATTAAAGGTACCAAAATACTTTAAAATAACCATTTTATACCATGATTTGTAGAGGCTTGCATGAAGCGAGAATATCATGCTTAATATGACTGTTTCTTAAGTCTTATTTATCTCCAGATCACTTGGAAGACACCAGCCCTGGAGCGACATTACATGATCAAAATACTCGCACTTTCCTTTAATGTCTCCTTCACACAAGAGGCCAACTACAGCCAAACCATCAGCATATTTAAGTAGGTTAAAACTCAAGTCTCTAGATACATCTGTACAAAGAGAAAAATGAAGGTGAACATCTGACACACTGACATCTCAGAGTACTCTTGGTGGGCCGTCAGACAAAAGTCTCTGATCCACCATTCACAACTACATCCAAAAAATCCAAAAGAAACCTAGTCACTGAGTCTATTAAAATCACAACTGCATTATCGGTTCCTCTTCATCTTTTATACATAAATTGAAGAGGGTCAAGTTGGCAGGCCACAGCTGTTGTTAAGTGCTTAGATACATCCCTGACTTGCACTGTATTGCATATGCTCATTCTTCATTTCAAGGTGTTTCATCATACTCCCTCACCACCAGCCCTGAGTGTGCCCCCATTTTGCAAAATGAGTGACAATGTGTAGTGATCAGTTCAGTGCAGTGAGGTAAGTAACTCTGGGCCCTTTACATCTGTATGGTGTTGTTTTACCCAAAAATATAGGAAAAGGTTTGGAGAAAATAGAATATCTGAAATTCCAGGTGAGTAGAAAAGACTGAAATGTCAAAGCAAACATTTGTGCTGACAGTACTGTAAAACTGTGATTTCTACCACTGTTATTCACATTTCATACTTACAAGAGGAGAGCTTTCTAAATATACAAAGGCAATATCAGCTTATTTGGTGTACTATCAGTATAAGACTATTGTTTTTCAACCATAAGTGTCAAACAGACAGATGTCCTGTAAAGGCAAGGAAATGGAAACATAAGAACAAATTCTTATGGGCAGAAACCGGCTCATTTACTTTGAGTCCACGAGGAAGACTCAGCTCAGTAAAGACTTGGTCTTTTTAAACTTAGAGGGAAACGTGTTCACTTTTCATTTTTGGTTTCTGTTTTTAATTCAAAGTAATTGACTCTAATCAAAAAAGGCAAATCTGCTCAAAATGATCCATTTATTGACAGATAAATCAAATCCAATCTAATACCTCGTAGTGCAGTCCTAAATATCATGAGTTGACATGACTCAGGCATATCCATGAAAATAAAACCGTCAGACATGCAGATGGAACTACAGTGTCCTCTGCTGGACTAAAGTCTGTACCTGCCTCCAAGTCTGAATTTTTGCTTTTGATGTCAACATGATACAGCTAGCATTTATTGATGTTTTTTTTCTTTTGCACATTTAGAAGCCGCTAAATTTGGTTTCAAGTATGGTAAGGTTTATACTATGGGATCCTGCAATAACAACAGAGGCTGATAACTTGACAGACTTCTGTGTAAATTAACAAAGTAAGTTCTGCATGTTGTTTTTTGTTAAATCCATGTAAGCACGAGTTGGTTAGACAGGAGAATCAGAATGAGAAAAACAACCCTTCGGCCAGTAAACTGTGTGTCAGATATTAAAGAGGTCATCAAAGAAAAAAAAGATAAGGACCTCCACCCTGAATGACCACAAATATCTGAAGCTCAGATTTGTAAGAACAAGCTTTTAATCATTTTCTTATCAAAGTTTTGTATTAATGTGTCTTTAATTTCATGACATTGTGACTTTCTTTACTTATGATGTTATTCTCATTGGAAAATAAATTTACCATGCTTTTATTTTTGTAAGAAAATAACTGATGCTCATCTGAGGAGAAGTGTGGAGGATGTAGGGTCGAGTTTCACCCAATTGGGATTGTAGTCTTCACAAACATTGCCCAACCAAACATTTTCCTTATTTCAGTCAGGACCACTTTCATCAAAAGGATTACTTACTTGCCTGAATTGGTTATATTTGACTGTGCCGCTCCATTCTGAGAGCTCCTTGGCTTTCCGTGCAAAGAGAGATCACCTTCCCTCTGTTTCGTGTGCATGCATACATGCAAAGCCAAGGCAGGGAGAGATAGGAGAGACAGGGGTTATAGGGCTGAGAAATTTGGAGATTATCATCAGATTGTTCTGTATTTGGACACTGTGGCAAAAAAAGAAAAGAAAAAGAGGAGAGGTAAAAGAAAATACAGCTTAACAACAATAGAAATTAAAAAAATAGGCCACAGCACTCATCATGACGATTTTAGAGACTGGTCAGTGATGAAAAAATTATCAGCCCTAAAGTTAAGAAAAAGAAGAGCTCTCTGTAATGACCATTTTTGCTTTTTATGAATTATCTATAACTATTCATTAGCAATCAGTTACTATAAATCATTTCTGAGATGACTAAAGTCAGCACTGCTGAGTGGATGCAGCAGTGTGCTCTCTGCAACTCAAGAAACTGAGACACTATCTTGTTATCGAAATAAGATCACATTTTAAAACAACTGAATAAGTTTAAAATTCCTGTATTAAAACATTGTTGTATGTAGCTTTTAATAAACAAGGCAGTGTGCTTGAATGTAATTCTAATTGAATGATGGCTTTGTTTTTTGTCAGTACTTCTGCCCTCAGTAAAAATAATATTACTAAAAATTAAACAAAAGTTGGTGTTAAATTAAAGTTTCCTCATTATTGTCATAAAAACACCTGTTAGCAAAGATAAGTGGAAATTTCTACAATGAAAACTAAATCTTCAAAATGAAAATAATTGCAAAGCCTCTTATCAAGCAGTTCTCAAATAAAAATGAGCTTTTGAGCCACCAGGGGGAGTATTGTGTCATGATTTACTTTTACATACAGGCAGTCTAAAACCTACAAGCTTACTCCATTTTATCCATCCTGTCTGTGAAAAGCTTTTAAAATATTTTAAGACTGTTTTTACAGCTTAGCTTACAATCACTGGGAGAATTTTTTCTGTTGAATATTCATGAACTTAGATTGGAAGTAAATCAATCAAACGTAACCAAGCTGGAAAAAAACAACAAATAAATAAATTCATAAAAGTTCAAACACAAAAAAGAAATAATTCCTTCACATTTTGCTTGAAGACATGTACCATGAAGAACTTGCAGAGTAGATACCACTTCACTTCCAAGACCTTTCTACCTTACTTCTGCAAGAGTCTTGGGCAGGACAGGGAGTAAGTGGAAAACCCTCTGAACTGGGTGAACTGCCCAATGTTGAAACTCCATCCTGGTTCATCTCCTCATGGATGTTGCTTTGGTAGACAGGCTGTCTATCAATCTTCCTCCTCCTTCTAGGAAGAGCAGGATGAAGAGTAGGGAGATCAGCAGCAAGACATGAAAAAGGAAAGATGGATGGAGAGGAGACGTTGTTTGAACTGATATGCAAGAGCAGCGGGGGAGAAGAAAAGAGAGTCTGAGAAAGCCAAGAGAGGATGGAGAGGCTCTTCACTCTACTTGAGAGAGATTTGAAAATAAAACCTGAATAAAATCATATGATACAAACTTCCTGCATGATGATGGATTGAAACAGGTTCCAGTCTCTGTAACACTAACCATCACGGCCGCTAGTGGTGGCTTGATTCGGATATGGCAGCCCTCATTTCTTGAACTGCTTTCCTGAAGGTTCTGTGTCCCACCACTCCTGCAAACCAAAACACACCGCTTCCTGTTTGACTTGGGTCTTTAGGAAGTGAATGACTTGGTGGTGAATGACTAACACCTCCTCAGTGACCCTGAGGACTATGTGGTGTACAGTGGAACAAGGTATCACAAACACTCTGGAGACCAGTCCCTATGATGACCCACTCTCCAGCCAAAACAGAAATTAGTATTATGACAACTTGCTGTTAATTACCTGATGTAATTGTTTTAGAAAGGTCACAGCTTAAACTTTTTTTGACCTGCTCATAATAGTCTCCATACCTGAGAGTCATCACACGCCAAAGCCATGGTGCACATGTTCCCCCATCTCCACAGTGCCAGAGACAAGATGTTAACTTTGATTTATACAGCTTTTAAATATATTGGATTTCTTTTAGATTTGCAGTTTCCTCCACTGTGCTCCTTAATCTGGACCATAACTGTCCCACTGAGCAAAAGACATATATTAGACGTCTAGTCTAAATTTATACTTCATTTCAACGTCGGGATTCGGTCTATTTCTAGAAGTGATTTATACTTCGCCCTCAACTTCATTTTTCGATAACTATTTATGCAATAAACAACTGTAATGTGCATAACTGACCTTTTAATACTGGATTACATTACTTCTGATACCGTGGAGAGATATGCAGCGTGTATAGATGTAGACGTGATTTAGACGTATAAATTTATACTTCATTTCAACGTCTAGATTCAGTCTATTTCTAGACGTGATTTATACTTCGCCCTCAACTTCATTTTTCGATAACTATTTATGCAATAAACAACTGTAATGTGCATAACTGACCTTTTAATACTGGATTACATTACTTATGATACGTGGAGAGATATGCAGCATAGTATAGATGTAGACGTGATTTAGACGTATAAATTTATACTTCATTTCAACGTCTAGATTCAGTCTATTTCTAGACGTGATTTAGACCTATAAATTTATACTTCATTTCAACGTCTAGAATCAGTCTATTTCTAGACGTGATTTAGACGTATAAATTTATACTTCATTTCAAGGTCTAGATTCAGTCTATTTCTAGACGTGATTTATACTTCGCCCTCAACTTCATTTTTCGATAACTATTTATGCAATAAACAACTGTAATGTGCATAACTGACCTTTTAATACTGGATTACATTACTTCTGATACCGTGGAGAGATATGCAGCATAGTATAGATGTAGACGTCATTTACACGTATAAATGTATACTTCATTTCAACGTCGGGATTCGGTCTATTTTTAGACGTGATTTAGACGTATAAATTTATACTTCATTTAAACGTCTAGATTCAGTCTATTTCTAGACGTGATTTATACTTCGCCCTCAACTTCATTTTTCGATAACTATTTATGCAATAAACAACTGTAATGTGCATAACTGACCTTTTAATACTGGATTAAATTACTTCTGATACCGTGGAGAGATATGCAGCATAGTATAGATGTAGACGTCATTTACACGTATAAATTTATACTTCATTTCAACGTCTAGATTCAGTCTATTTCTAGACGTGATTTAGACGTATAAATTTATACTTCATTTCAACGTCTAGATTCAGTCTATTTCTAGACGTGATTTAGACGTATAAATTTATACTTCATTTCAACGTCTAGATTCAGTCTATTTCTAGATGTGATTTAGACGTATAAATTTATACTTCATTTCAACGTCTACATTCAGTCTATTTCTAGACGTGATTTAGACGTATAAATTTATACTTCATTTCAACGTCTACATTCAGTCTATTTCTAGACTTGATTTAGACGTATAAATTTATACTTCATTTCAACATTTAGACGTATAAATGTATACTTCATTTCAACGTCGGGATTCGGTCTATTTTTAGACGTGATTTAGACGTATAAATTATACTTCATATCAACGTCTACATTCAGTCTATTTCTAGACGTGATTTATACTTCGCCCTCAACTTCATTTTTCGATAACTATTTATGCAATAAACAACTGTAATGTGCATAACTGACCTTTTAATACTGGATTACATTACTTCTGATACCGTGGAGAGATATGAAGCATAGTATAGATGTAGACGTCATTTACAGGTATAAATTTATACTTCATTTCAACGTCTAGATTCAGTCTATTTCTAGACGTGATTTAGAAGTATAAATTTATACGTCTAATGAAGTATAAATTTATACGTCTAAATCACGTCTAAAAATAGACCGAATCCCGACGTTGAAATGAAGTATAAATTTATACGTGTAAATGATGTCTACATCTATACTATGCTGCATATCTCTCCACGGTATCAGAAGTAATGTAATCCAGTATTAAAAGGTCAGTTATGCACATTACAGTTGTTTATTGCATAAATAGTTATCGAAAAATGAAGTTGAGGGCGAAGTATAAATCACGTCTAGAAATAGACTGAATCTAGACGTTGAAATGAAGTATAAATTTATACGTCTAAATCATGTCTAGAAATAGACTGAATCTAGACGTTGAAATGAAGTATAAATTTATACGTGTAAATGACGTCTACATCTATACTATGCTGCATATCTCTCCACGGTATCAGAAGTAATGTAATCCAGTATTAAAAGGTCAGTTATGCACATTACAGTTGTTTATTGCATAAATAGTTATCGAAAAATGAAGTTGAGGGCGAAGTATAAATCACGTCTAGAAATAGACTGAATCTAGACCTTGAAATGAAGTATAAATTTATACGTGTAAATGACATCTACATCTATACTATGCTGCATATCTCTCCACGGTATCAGAAGTAATGTAATCCAGTATTAAAAGGTCAGTTATGCACATTACAGTTGTTTATTGCATAAATAGTTATCGAAAAATGAAGTTGAGGGCGAAGTATAAATCACGTCTAGAAATAGACTGAATCTAGACGTTGAAATGAAGTATAAATTTATACGTCTAAATCACGTCTAGCAATAGACTGAATCTAGACGTTGAAATGAAGTATAAATTTATACTCTAAATCACGTCTAGAAATAGACTGAATGTAGACGTTGAAATGAAGTATAAATTTATACGTCTAAATCACGTCTAGAAATAGACTGAATCTAGACGTTGAAATGAAGTATAAATTTATACGTGTAAATGACGTCTACATCTATACTATGCTTCATATCTCTCCACGGTATCAGAAGTAATGTAATCCAGTATTAAAAGGTCAGTTATGCACATTACAGTTGTTTATTGCATAAATAGTTATCGAAAAATGAAGTTGAGGGCGAAGTATAAATCACGTCTAGAAATAGACTGAATGTAGACGTTGAAATGAAGTATAAATTTATACGTCTAAATCACGTCTAAAAATAGACCGAATCCCGACGTTGAAATGAAGTATAAATTTATACGTCTAAATCAAGTCTAGAAATAGACTGAATGTAGACGTTGAAATGAAGTATAAATTTATACGTCTAAATCACGTCTAAAAATAGACCGAATCCCGACGTTGAAATGAAGTATAAATTTATACGTCTAAATCACGTCTAGAAATAGACTGAATCTAGATGTTGAAATGAAGTATAAATTTATACTAAATCACGTCTACATCTATACTATGCTGCATATCTCTCCACGGTATCAGAAGTAATGTAATCCAGTATTAAAAGGTCAGTTATGCACATTACAGTTGTTTATTGCATAAATAGTTATCGAAAAATGAAGTTGAGGGCGAAGTATAAATCACGTCTAGAAATAGACTGAATCTAGACCTTGAAATGAAGTATAAATTTATACGTCTAAATCACGTCTAGAAATAGACTGAATCTAGACGTTGAAATGAAGTATAAATTTATACGTCTAAATCACGTCTAGAAATAGACTGAATCTAGACGTTGAAATGAAGTATAAATTTATACGTCTAAATCACGTCTACATCTATACTATGCTGCATATCTCTCCACGGTATCAGAAGTAATGTAATCCAGTATTAAAAGGTCAGTTATGCACATTACAGTTGTTTATTGCATAAATAGTTATCGAAAAATGAAGTTGAGGGCGAAGTATAAATCACGTCTAGAAATAGACTGAATCTAGACCTTGAAATGAAGTATAAATTTATACGTGTAAATCACGTCTAGAAATAGACTGATTCTAGACGTTGAAATGAAGTATAAATTTATACGTCTAAATCACGTCTAGAAATAGACTGAATCTAGACGTTGAAAAGAAGTATAAATTTATACGTCTAAATCACGTCTACATCTATACTATGCTGCATATCTCCGTGATACCGTGGAGAGATATGCAGCATAGTATAGATGTAGACGTCATTTACACGTATAAATTTATACTTCATTTCAACGTCTAGATTCAGTCTATTTCTAGACGTGATTTAGACGTATAAATTTATACTTCATTTCAACGTCTAGATTCAGTCTATTTCTAGACGTGATTTATACTTCGCCCTCAACTTCATTTTTCGATAACTATTTATACAATAAACAACTGTAATGTGCATAACTGACCTTTTAATACTGGATTACATTACTTATGATACCGTGGAGAGATATGCAGCATAGTATAGATGTAGACGTCATTTACACGTATAAATTTATACTTCATTTCAACGTCTAGATTCAGTCTATTTCTAGACGTGATTTATACTTCGCCCTCAACTTCATTTTTCGATAACTATTTATGCAATAAACATCTGTAATGTGCATAACTGACCTTTTAATACTGGATTACATTACTAATGATACCGTGGAGAGATATGCAGCATAGTATAGATGTAGACGTGATTTAGACGTATAAATTTATACTTCATTTCAACGTCTAGATTCAGTCTATTTCTAGACGTGATTTAGACGTATAAATTTATACTTCATTTCAACGTCTAGATTCAGTCTATTTCTAGACGTGATTTAGACGTATAAATTTATACTTCATTTCAACGTCTAGATTCAGTCTATTTCTAGACGTGATTTATACTTCGCCCTCAACTTCATTTTTCGATAACTATGCAATAAACAACTGTAATGTGCATAACTGACCTTTTAATACTGGATTACATTACTTATGATATCGTGGAGAGATATGCAGCATAGTATAGATGTAGACGTGATTTAGACGTATAAATTTATACTTCATTACTTTCATTTCTGGCGGGTTGATGGTACTGCCCATGGAGCCGCCCACTGCCCTGCCCACTAAATAATCAAAACAGCGCCATTATGAATAAATTTACTAAATATCAACAATGCATATTACCATAAGCGTCTGATATATGTAAATTGATGAAAGTATTCACAGGAAACACCATCTGTGGAGCCAGATTCTCTACAACAAAAGTTACCTGCTGCTAACCTTGATACACGTACCCCCAGGATGTTCTATTTCGGCAATGTTGCTTCTCTTTCTGGACCTTTTAGAATATTTAGCTTCTACAGTCATGCTCATTCATAATTTAACACTGATCTACATTTGGCAACCATAAGTCCACTGTAATTGAAATCACAGTACATTTTTTACTCAGAATATAACCATTACAGTCATGGAGTGGGAAAAACAACTTTTTAATTTCACATTTAGTAAAACGAACATTTAAAAAAGAAAAAAATCTATTTATCTATATAAAAACATAGCTACAAAGTATAAAGAACAAGAACAACAACATAAAGAAAAATGTAACTAATACTAATACTGAAATGAACTATAAATATTAACAAATTTAAGATATATATTTTTTAAATTAGCAGGGTAGTGTTCTGGTGGTGCCCCTCCCGCCACATCGAGCTGGTGCCTGTTTCAAATGGTCCCCAATCGATGCTGCGACCAATTCCTTCGTTGCCGTCGGGAAGTTAGTGCAGACAGACTCTGTAAAAAGAAAAAGAAAAAAGAAACTTGAATCATAGTAAGTGTTGAAATTATCTAGTATTGTCCGGAAGGATTCTTCACTTTTTTACAGCTTCAGGCTTTAAATGAGTCAGTAACATGACCAAGAATAAGTAATAACTTGCAGAGATATAATTCATTAACCAAGAAGAACTGTGAAGAAAGTAGTTTTCTTTAAGCTTTTTTTCCCCTGGCGTCCTCCACCCAGGAGGTTGTACTTCCGCTGCACGTCACTGTGTAAAATTCTGAAATGGATATCAAAGACAAATAAATCTCTTAAGGTGCATTCACACCGGACAGGCAACGCAACTTGTCCTGTCGCATGTCCTTAAATGTGTCAC